TAAACACTTTTTTAAATGCTTTTATTCCGTCGTCGGTTAGAGTTTTTAGCTAATGCAGTAAATTTTTAAATATTTTTTAGATATTTCCCTAACTAAAGTCTCGAAATTTCTACACAAAATATAACTTATTATTAGCTTTAATTTCATGTATGGCTCAACATTTGGCGTCAAGTATTTCAGCTCAAAACTCAGAAAAAGTAAAAAGCACTAGCTTCAATTTCCCTCTCCCCAGAGTTATCGTTCCAGTTTGTTTACAGTTCAATGGTAGTAACAAAATTTGTATAACGCAAAGTTCGATAGGTTACGATATGTTGTAAAATGCGGAAAACATTGCGTTTCTTTCCCTTTTTGTACTACTTATTTTTCTTGCTGTATTCGGGAAAACTGAGGGTTTAATAACACTCTAAAATTCAACCCGCAAACTTTTTCTGTTTCAGGTCTTTGAAGCAAACTATGATGGAAACACTATCATTGAGCAGCGTTTAACTCGTACTGTTGTTACACGTTTTGTTCGTCTTAATGTTAAGCGGTGGGGCGGATTACCTTCGATGAGAATTGAATTTCAGGGCGAGTACATAGGTAAGACTACACTTGTGTATTTACTAATATTTTTCTAACAAAGTTTGAAGCCTTGAGTATTGACGATTGCGCCGGGTTTTAAGATCACCTTTTTTGTAGCTATCATTCACCTAGGTTCCGTTTTAGAGTAGTTATTTGCTATATCGCCTATTTTAGTTACCGATTGGTATGACCCAATTCCGCTTGGAATGCAAAATGGAATGATCTTGGATTCGCAAATATCGGCGTCTTCGTCAAAAAGCATAAAGGCTGGCCCATGGAATGCCAGACTAAATTTGACTACAGTAGAAAACGTGAACTTCGGAGGCTGGATTGTAGCAGAGCATGACAAGGACCCATGGCTTCAAGTCGACTTTATCGCCAACGTTACCGTCACTGCAATAGCTACCCAAGGTTTGGACGGAGGACAACAAAAGACGTTGAACTACACGGTCTCTTTTGGATTCGACAGAGATTTTCTTCAAAATTATACCGTGAAAGGACAGATAAAGGTAATCTGTGCTCTAGTGCAATACGTGATAATTATAACCAGTCGTGTTTTATACTATTTACGTGGAAGAGCCATTGTACGCGTTCATGGCGATGTAATGGTTTACACTTTAAAATTTTCTGTGATAGCGGAGTTTTCAAACGTATAATTTTACAATCCTAAGTTTCAAAGTATTTGGTTGAAATATTCAAGGAAACTAGAACAGTAGTTAATTAACAATGAGTAACTCCATCGTGATATACTCGCTGCAAATAATTTACAACTTGGTCTGTCTTGGGATTTACCAATGCAAATTTTCCACTGAGAACACAGAAACTTCGACAATGCAAGCCTAGGTTTTATAAGAAATTGCTTTTGCCTAAACCGAGAAAATCAAAGTTGAAATTTCAAACTAATTCAGTTCACAAATTTTTAAATTTTTTTTTTTTGTTTCTCACTTTGAATTATTTCATTTATCTTGCCTAATTTATAATTTTTAAATTTTCTTGGTTCCTGAACCGTCGTAAGGCAAGGTCCGTATTTTGTATTCCCGAGAGTTGGTAACGAAGACAATTGGTTAGGCGAGCTTTTTTTAAGGGTATAAAGGATTGTGTGAATGTATTTTTGCACAAAGCTTACAGTATATAAGTTGGTTATTTAATTTCCAAAAGAATTAACAATTTACCTGAACAATATACGAAAATTTTGCATACGTTATTTCAGGATGTATCCGCACGTTTAAAAAACAAATACACCCATGCTGGTGTATAGAAAAAATTCAGAAGTTGAGTATGGAAAAAATGTTTGATTAGGATTGTTTTTCTTTAGTTTTTTTGCGACCAGCCTGGTATAAAAAATCAAGACTCGCTAATATTATGAAATCTTCATTTTTTTTCCATAAGATATTCCCAGCAGTCCATGCCGATGGTTCATTGATGAAGCAAGATTTGTGGCCCCATATCACAGCCCGTTTTGTCCGTATCAAACCAAAACACTGCGTTGGGTTGTGCGCCCTCAGAATTGAACTCTATGGCCGTTATGAAGGTGATTAATGACCATAACTCTATTTACAAGCGTGTTTCTGAGTCGAAGGCGAAGTGAATATAGGCTTTTAATCAACGCGATTAATTGTTTTAGTATAAATTTAGGGGTGTTTACAAATAATAATCAACCCAATTTCATAAAAAATTTTAATTACTTCAAATTTGAAAAAAACAACAACAAAAAGCTAAGTGACTATCACTTCGGAAACAGTGAGTCTTGACCAATCAGAATGCAGGAAAATCAATAGTCACCTAGAAATTTTTACTAAAACTGTATACAAACTGATACAAACACGGACATTTTCCCGCCGAAATTGACAAGCGAAGTAATTTGTAATTTAATCGAATACAAAATCTTTTTATTAAGTTATATTATAAAAGAAGCGGAAAACATTTTTCCTTTGTTTATATAAAGTTTTAGTATACACCCGACTATTTTCTATTACAAATCCTACATCTTGATTGGCTACTCAACCATTGTCTATCGTGATGCTAAACGTTTGGGGAAAATTTGCTCGCGCGACCGTATATATGAAATTGAATTAATTATATTATTTTTCGGTGTAATTGCGGTGTATCGATTATTTTCTCGAAATTAATATATCTAGGTACAGGGTGTGTACTAAAACAATTAGACAACTCGCCTTCGTTGTCTATGAGCGAATAGTCAACTAAGGCTTCGCCTTCGAACATTTTTTATATATTTAAGTATTTTGGAGCCACATACCGACGATTCTGAATATAGAGCATAATAGAGAGGAGTTTTTTAATCGCCCATTTTTTGCTAATAGACTCCATGCACTCTCATGCTTTGGGAATGGAGAGCAGGAAGATAATAGATAGCCAAGTTTCAGCATCATCAATGCATGGTTTTGCATACCGACCTCAGCTGGCTAGATTGAATATTCAGGAGATACCGGGTGTACTTGCTGGAGGGTGGTGTCCTCGTGATCACGACACAAATCCATGGTTTCAAGTTGATTTTCTCGTACCTACCATGGTCGATCGAGTCGATACTCAATGTCGGTCGTATCGGCATTATTGTTGTAAAACGTTCACACTTTCTACAAGTAGTAATGGCGAAAAATTCAATATGTATAAAGAATTCAATCATGTCAAGGTACGGAAATTCTCAACTTTTTTTATGTACAACTACTAAGATGTACAACTGCGCTAAGTAGGAGGGGGGAAGGGGATCTTTGAGCCATGGGCGCCTTATTTGCTGAGGCCCCCAAAATATTACATGAACACTGTAGTGATTTTATATTATGTTTAGCTAAAGTATTATTCTAATTTTACTAAGAACCAGGCCTAATAGACCTTTTTTATAATGACGTCAAACGCGGAAAGTCTGATGTTACACGAAATTTCATTGGCTCGATAATTTTATGCCAATCAAATTTCGTGTAACATGCGCGTTTGACGTCATTATAAGAAAGGTCTATTTAATGTTTTCATAAATATGAAGCCATTTTGATATTTTACCTAGTATTAAGTAAAGCCTATCGAAGGAAGGTTGTTCAGTGTTCTTTTATTCTACCTCTAATAAAAACAGCAGTAGCGTAGCCAGAGCCTGAAGATTTGTTCCGCTATACTGATATTTCGGTGTTCATAAACCTTGAAAACAATAAATTTCTAAAGACATGAATAAATATATAACAAGACGCCTGTTCTGGCGTTAACTCCGGCGCACGTGCCAGTCTTTAATATAGAGCTTCTGAACATAAACAATACAGTTCATATTCGCATTTAGATGCCTTGCGAACCTAAATGTTCGATCGCGAAATTCAGAAGCACATCGCTGTATAAAAGTTCAATTGTTCAAAAATGTAAATAAACCGCATGATACATTCGCTTTGTCTTACACTTTGCCTTTGGAATTCGCACTTATATAGTTATATTAAATCTTCAACCTGTGCAAACTACGACGTGTCAACGCGCCCATACACGACCACATCATCTTGTTAAACGGCGAAATAGCAGCGATATTATTAAAATAGGACCAGAATTCAATCTAAACTTAATCGAAGAGCATGAAAAAAACGGTTTATTTGTTTCTCTTGGAGGAATTGCCGTATCATGCGTGCGAAATCGAATCGCGCATCGGAAAATTTGCCAAAGCTGTGCACCACAACTATTGGGAGATAAGACTGGGACGTACGTATATAGATGAATACGGTCACATGTACACCCTAAACAGTAGATTAATATTGTCGAACTATAAAATCTTAGCTTCCGAGAGAAGGAAGAAATCTCATCCACCGTACGCTAAATTTCAAGATTTTGCCCCAAGCCCCCTTTTTGTTCCCGGATTGATGTCCGTAAATCGGGATGATAATTTTGCACTAACAGCCTTTTGAAATCTTTGTTCGTTCCCGTAAATAATGTGATCATCTTGCTTCATATAGATATTTGAAGGAAATTATATACGCGCAGCAAGAAGTGTTGAGCAACGTTTAACACACCCAATTTTTACTCGATTCATTCGCATAAATTTCAAAGAGAAATCAGGGCTTGGATATGGACTGAGATTGGAACTCATTGGCAACTACAAGGGTAAGAACAACGCAGTTCTACAGTAAATTTGAAAGTTTAAACGCCAAACGTCAAACCGCTATACGAACTTTCGTGGTTTACCTACACTATCTTAATTTCCTAGATACCAATTGGTTTAACCCGGTTCCGCTTGGAATGAAAAGTAGATTGATTTTGGACACTCAAATCATCGCGTCTTCTTCAAACGGTACAATCGCTGGAGCATGGAATGGAAGACTTGATCTTACTACGATAGACAACGTCAGATATGGAGGATGGATTGCGGCAGATTATGACAATGACCCTTGGCTTGAAGTTGACTTCATCTCGAATGTAACAGTCACTGCAATTTCAATCCAAGGTTTGGAAGGTGGTCAGCACTGGGTCAAATCCTTTACTGTGAACTTTGGGTATAAAAAGGATATTCAAGAAAGCTACAAAGTTAACGGAAATCCCAAGGTTTGTGATGATATGCAGGATAAAATTAAACAGATAATTATCGATTTCACCCAATATTTATCACATATATGACCAAAAGCTTTGCTGGAATTTGTATAAGGCAATTAAAATAAGGCACTATTCATTATCTAAGACCGGTGATTTGTTGGAACGAAGGAACCATTAAACCCATGAATTCTAAAAACAGTAAATTAGCAAATATTGCACACATTGAACTGAGAAAGGCATTGGTAAAATTCTTTCTGTTACTCTTTGCGTTAAAGGCCGTTTTCCACTTCAACCGTATCGTAGCGAAACGTAGCGTATCTCATTGTTTTAAATTCATTAGTTCTGGTCGAATACTCCGGAAACAAAGAAATACGCTACGTTACGCTATGATACGGCTGAAGTGGAAAACAGACCTAACAGGGCAGATTTGGCTTCAATAGTGCTTCGCATTCAAGAGTGTACAATCCGAACAAAAACAACAATATTTACATGTTCTGTCATTCCTTCGCCCTGTCACGCATGTAAGACAAATTCAAATATTGGTCATGATTCTTTCTTCTAGGTATTCTCAGCAAACTACGACAGTAATTCCACCACATGGCTCGACATATTCCCGCATATTAACGCTCGTTTCATAAGGGTAAAGCCAAAAGATTGTCATGGATTTTGTGCTTTGAGAGTGGAGCTTCACGGTCGCTATGAAGGTGAGCAAGTGTTATACACTTATATTCTTGTATGTTTGCATGGTGACATCAATGAGTAATTTAGTTTGTAGGTACACCACGTAAGTATTTAATACTGCTAAACATATTAAATATTTACGTGGTGTACCTACAAGCTAAATTACTGTATACACTTAGTTCATCAAAAACCTAAACAAGACAGAACTGATAACGTGATATTAACAACGCATTATGGAGATGCTTTGGACAACAACCTTTCGTTTACGTGAATCATGTTTTAAAAACCCAAAATGTTTTGTCACCATCACCATCACCAACACCATCACTAACACCATCACCAACACTATCACCAACACCATCACTAGCACCATCACCAAACCATCACCATCGCCAACACCATCACTAACACCATCACCAACACCATCACCAACACCATCACCAACACCATCACCAACACCATCACCAACACCATCACCAACACCATCACCATCACCAACACCATCACCAACACCATCACCAACACCATCACTAACACCATCACCAACACCATCACTAACACCATCACCAACACTATCACCAACACCATCACTAGCACCATCACCAAACCATCACCATCGCCAACACCATCACTAACACCATCACCAACACCATCACCAACACCGTCACTAACACCATCACCAACACTATCACCAACACTAGCACCATCACCAAACCAGCATCATCGCCAACACCATCATCATCGCCAACACCATCATCATCGCCAACACCATCACCAACACCATCACCAAACCATCGCCAACACCATCACCAATGCTAGCACCATCACCAACACCATCATCACGAAACTATTGCCAACACCACCAACACCATCACTAACACCATTACCAACACCATCACCAACACTAGCACCATCACCAACACCATCACCATCACCAACACCATCACCATCGCCAACACCTATCACCAGCACCACCACCATCGCCAACACCATCACCATCACCAGCACCATCACCAGCACCAACACCATCACTATCACCATCACCAACACCATCACCATCACCATCACCATCACCAACACCAACACCAACACCATCACTAACACCATCACCAACACCAACACCATCACCAACACCAACACCAACACCATCACCATCACTATAACCAACACCATCACCAACACCATCACCATCACCAGACCTCCACTGCAAATCTCCATCTAACTAATTGCTACCTTTTCCCCTCTTATTAAATCACTTTTTTAGACTGCAATGACCCTCAGCGGCTCGGCATTGCGGATCACAAAATACTCGACAGCCAAATGACAGCATCGTCGTATGAAAGTCATGAAACGTGGGCTTCTCTAGGCAAACTTTATACAGTTAGAATAAAGGGAAAAAATTTGGGAGGCTGGGTGATGCATAATTATGATGTAAACCCGTGGATACAAGTTGATTTTTTGAAAAACACCAAAATCACGCATATGCTGAGCAGAGGTGACTTGCAATTTTATTTAATAATTTGCGAAATTTGCACAAGAGTTGAGCTATGAAAAAATATTCATCTTGTTAGAAAACCCAGAAAGACAAAGAACTTTGTTAATCGACGACAAATCGATAATTATTAAATAATGATAATTTTATTCCTATACTTTGAATTATTTTCGTTTATTAGACTTGGGAAAGTCAGACCAGACACTTCGAAAGCCATATACTCAGCAAGCTGCCGGCTTGTTTGTACTGTGTCTACCTTTATTTTATTTATTTCAAACGCATTCGGATTGGACCGAGAAATTAATATTTTTAAATTCATTTTCAAATATTTTCAAAATAGCAACGTTGCCTGGTCGTCGAAACACGGCATGTGGACGAGTAGGCTTGCTGACACAGCGCGAGTTTTGTTTTTTAGGTCGACAGGATTACAGCCAATGGGTAACAGCCTTCACAATTTCTTATTCTAATGACGAGATAAGTTTTTCTGACTACATGGAAAATGGTCTTAAAAGGGTATGATCACCAAGTTATTATAAACATGTATTATACGTATTATAAACATGTATTATACGTATTATAAACATAATAAAATTACTGGATGCTGATTGGTCGAGAGGAGTTTGGTTATTTCATGTATACAACTAATGATTTTTTCTGAAACTAGCCTCATTCGGCGTGCATGTAAACTAGGCAACTCCGGAGGAACTTAAAAAAGGTGTAAAGTAAACGAAAATACTGGCAAAAGCGTAAAATATTTTCTAATAGTTTGGCTGAGATATATTCTGACAGAAAAATTATGCTCGAAGTAAAATATAAATGATTTCGATAGAGCACTTTGTAGTCGTAATGTTTGCAGATTTTGTGAAATCAGACTGGCACAGGCGACTCGTCCAATTTTGGAAAAATTTTCAAACATTACTCGTACAATTAATCATAATTTGTACTCGCCACCGAATATGATTACATATACAAAGAGTTTCAGTCTAGGTAAATAATTATTTATGTATCTTCTGTAATCAATGGTTTACAGTGCTTTAATTGCACTCTTTGCAATTTGTGATTGCACTTTTATTCCAATAAGAATCACTCTAGTACATAAAACTAGCCAACCACCATTCAGGATTCAGAATATATGAATTTTTATCTTTTATAATATATTTTTTTATAATTGCACTTCAATTCCTTCAATTAACATCATTAACCCAAAATGGATACATAGATGAAGGCAAATTAATAGGAAAAAAAGAGCCAATTGAAATATCCTTTTTTTCACATTCATTGTAAACTAAAAAACATGAAACATCAACTTTTCATTTGTCCGATGTTTACGTTTCCAGAAATCGTATTGAAGAAGAAAAAAAGGAGATCAACAGGCCTTCTTTTCCTAGCTATATTTTACGGAGAGATAAATGTTTTGTTTCGTTTTTTTTCCTGATAATCGTTTGCTAATATGTCTTTATATCTACGAATAGGTATTTATCGCCAACTTCGACAGAGTTACGACTGTGAAACAACATCTTGTGAATGAAATCTTTGCTCGATATGTGCGTGTCTACTGTACGAAGAATCATGATAAGGCCGCGATTAGGATTGAATTTCTTGGTTGTTCTTGCGGTAAGTTTCCAGGTAGACTTTCAGCTCTTCAGTAATTAATCGTGCAACCGAAGATTTGCCTCATTGAATTGCAAAAAATTGAAAAAAATTTTGGTCTGCATTTAGTTGGTTTCCCTCTGCTCTGTAGGAAACATGCATCACATCGTGTTCCGGTCTTAACATTATTTGCTCATCGTTTTTTTTTTATTCTCGTCCCCCATCGCGTTCAAACTGATGTCCTCTTTCTACCCGGGTAGAAAAGGGGTGCAATAAGGGGCGCCGGGGAGGCGGGGCAGTGCCACCACCTCCAATAATTGACCGCTATGTCTCTGAAAGAGTTATAGTCGATCCTATAAGCAAAATGCTGCCACATGCTTATCATTCATTTCATAAAACATACTTGTAAAATATATACGAATAGTAAAGAGTAATGTGATCATGAAATTAGTCACTCCAGTAAATAGTCCACTCAACGCACCCCCCCCCCAGCCTCACGTCACCAATCCCCCTACCCCCCTCCCCTAACCTCACATGCGTTGCCTCAACGATCGAAGGATTCATTCGCCTGTCAGGCATATCGTTTGCTAATGCTTTATTTTCTTCGATTTTAGATTCGACTTGGCGCCACTCTGACGCTCTCGGTATAGAAAATTTGTCCATTTTGGATTCCCAACTGACAGCGTCATCCAGTCAATACTACAACGCAACAGCATCGAATGCACGACTCAACTTAAAGACAACTCTTTCCTCTTATGGAGCGTGGATCGCAGCAAAGAACGACAACAATCCATGGCTTCAAGTTGACTTCATCACAAACGTTACCATCACAGCAATAGCTACACAAGGTCTGGATGGTGGACAACACTGGGTGAAAGAATACTCGATTGGTTTTGGTCCAGATAATGTCCTCTTTACGAACTACGAGGAAAACGGAAAAACTAAAGTAATGTGCTCATAATTATTATATTGCAATAGTTTATTAAATTTCGTAGACAGTGCTATCAGTCGAATAGTGATTTTTTTCATCGTTGTTTAAACTTCCATGGAATCAATGAAGTTACAGATTTGAAAAGAATTCCTAATCCATTCCATTCCTAATCCAATTCCTAATCGTACAACCGATTTTTCCATTTTTTAAATTTTTCCATTTACATTTTAAAATCTTGAAAACATGAAGGGCCTTCACAGTTAAGCAGTTATTCTTTCCTATCCCATGATTGCAATTTCAAAGGAATTTTCGAAATACTGGTCCACAACAGTTAAATTATGATTCTATTTGTGCGATTAGGTTATCCTTCGGATAAAAGCCGCTTTCTGGTTAGTTCCGATCCAAACTGGTAGTTTCGATTTTTGAACTGTAGTACATAAGGTTTTGGACGAAATGGCATGAGATAAAAACGAAACATTCATGCAGATATTTACAATATTTACACACCCTTCCTCAAAGTCAGTCCTCAAACTCAGTCCACTTGTGGACAAACCTCCGTAGACACACTGTGGGAAAACTTAGATTCGCGCAAATTTGTTTTATGCAAACTTTCAAAAATTCATATTCGTTAACGTTTGCAATTATTTTCTGAAGCTCAATTTGAAGATAAAAATTTTTTTTTTCTACCACTGTGAGATTTTCATTTGGCAAATTCCAAATTTGCACTGTTTGTTTGTGCAAATTACCAGATTTTCAAATTACCAGATTTTAAAGTTATGATCATTTCAGCTGTGACCACAAGACATCTATTTGTGCGAGACGGTCAAACGATTGCTTGACGATTTGGCTTTTTTTTAACACAGATATTCCCAGCTAACTTTGACAGCCGTTCTACCAAACGCCATGACATTTATCCAAATATCCTTGCTCGCTTTATTCGAGTCACCGCCACGGCATGCGCTGGATACTGCGCTCTGAGAGTGGAATTTTACGGCCGTTACGAAGGTAAAGAATCTGAAACAGAAAACAATATAATTTTAATCTCACCCATTCAAAGTCTCACCTTAACTATTACTCTGTCCTATGAGCCAAGCTCAGTAAAACTATGTTGCCAGGAGTACATAAATTTACTTATGTTCGAAAAACTGAGAAGTATATTTCGTCTCAAATAGCTACTAAAAGTTTGCAGGTTTTCTCAGTGGAACTTTATTTTTGGATAATGAAAAGCATCTTTACTCTCAGTTATTGCAAACTCTTTAAATTGATGTTAGAAAACGATAGGTATTCTGTGCCCGTACTGTGCGTTCGCACCGCTAAAAAACCCATTCTAAAATTCGTCAAGGACGTCGCTGTTCCCCAAACAGTGTGATATTGTTACGTATTCTTATACACAGCATTTGTTTGCAGCGTGTGAAATCAAGAGTTATTTAGGAATGGCAAATCATGAGATATTGGACAGCCAAATAACAGCCTCTTCCGTTTACGGGAACGACATTACTGCTCATCGTGCTTCTTTAGCAAGAATAAATCTTACTCAAGTAATCGGGACACATTACGGAGCTTGGGCTCAGCACGCAGATCAAAATCCCTGGCTTCAAGTGGATTTCTTGGTGAAGCGTATTATTTGCGCCGTGCTAACGCAAGGCCGTCAAGATGCCTTTCAATTTGTGAAAACTTACACCATGCACGAGAGCAGCGATGGTTTGAACTTCGTGGAATACAAGGACCGTGGCGCGGGAAAGGTACATGCGTGGCAGTAAAAGCAATTTATATAATTATATAATTAGAACAAATAACCGGTTAAAGGAACTGCATCGATTAATATGCAATTGTTGCCATGTTTCTATATAGCTGTCATAGCACAGACTGTTGTAAGGGGCGGTTTACATGAGCCTGGTTACCCAAGATCCTACAGAGTGTGTAATGATTCTGAGGTATTGAAATGAGCATTTACTAACCAAACAAAAGCACATTCTATTGTCGAGTGGAATATATCGCTGCCCGGATCACGTCATATATTAATTTCAATACCTCAAAGTCATTTCATATTTCGTTTCATCTCGGCTTACGTGGCCCATGTAAACAGACCCTAACTTAAATGCGTCGAACTTTTCATGTCCTGAATCGAATGCAAATAAACTTGGGACAAGGACACGTTCACTCGCGTGAGAAAGATAAGAGTTTGCAGCTAGGATTTTCGCCCGTTCCCAAGAATCACAAAATTAAAAAGATTTAGGCTAAAATAAACGCCTTCAAATTAGCAGTCGAAAAGAAAACTCAAACGTTAAAATAAAAGTTAAATCACATCGCCTACAAGATGTTGTCAATGCTTTAATTGGTACAATAAGATGCCAGAATCTGAATTACCAAGGTGTAAACAGCGAAATGCCGTCTAATACAAACATGTAGATTTATATCATTATATTGATTGAAAGAAGACTTTGAAACTTTGTGTTCTTTTTTCCTTCAGATATTTCAAGCCAACTTTGACATGAATACTATAGTTCGCCAACGTCTTCAGCGAGTCATTTTCGCCCGTTTTATTCGAATTTATCCAAAGACGTGGCACATCCATCTTTCTATGCGAATCGAATTCGAAGGCTGCCGAAAAGGTGAGAATGGGTCTATTTTTATTCGAGTACCAGCTAGATTTTGAGGAAAGAAAGAAGAAGTGAAAAGTCTGAGTACCTGGGTTTAAGGGTAAAGAGAAGAAGTGAAAAATCTAGGAACAAGATTTTGAGGGTAGAGAAAAGTGAAAAATCTGAGCACCAGATTTTGAGGGTATTTTTACAAGTGCATGAGTCATAGCATTAGATTAAGGCAAACGTCTGTCAAGAGGTTTTAATTCCAAGGTTAGACTTCGCGATAACGATAGCACGGTTTTTTGAAAAGGATCGACAATAAAACAAAGAGTGTTGGAGAGTGGGTAGGGAAAGTGCCATGTTTATCAGCGAAGTAGCAAAAATTAAATTTCTTGTATTAACATATGATGAAAACATCTTATTTATCATCATAAGACTACAGCAATCAACTTTTGCTCAATTTGAAAACTAGCGTATTTCGAATTCTTTACATAGCTGTAGATGATTGGTTTAATCCCGTCCCACTGGGCATAGAGAATGGCTTGATCTCCGCGCTGCAGTTGACCGCATCCTCGGCCCAAAATTCCTCGTCTGGTGCCAAAAATTCACGCCTCAACTTGAATACGAATCCTGAGAGACATGGAGGCTGGATTGCGGCCGAAAATGATGACAACCCCTGGCTTCAAGTCGACTTCTTTACAAACGCCACTGTCACAAGAATCGACACGCAGGGCTCCGCCAGCAGCGAAGGTCGCGTGACAAGTTATGCGGCATCTCTCAGCACGGATGGACTCAGCTTTCAGGAGTACAAACAATATGATAAAGTTAAGGTACCCGTATCTGCTATAAGTTTCTAATTTTCATATTCCGCGCTAGGTGATAAACTCACGCGTATGGCGATTTTTAAAACCCGGCAAAGGAGGATTTCGTTTTGAACTAATCGGCATATTTGTTTACATTTTTCAGGCAAAGCCAATCAAAATGCCTAAATTTATAATACTTCATGTAAACTGGTAAATAAAGACCCTTCATGGAGGTGGTCAAAATTTATGCACGCTGACTGGTTACTAAAAATGTAAACAAACTCGCTGATTGGTCTAAAATGAAACTCCTCCTATTTTTCAACCGTTGATTAATTTGATGAGATATCAACCCGCTGTTCAAGAAAATACGTTCAATATCTCCCTTTTTTATTTGAAGATTCGTGTTAACTATAAAAAAAATGCTAAATGATCTCTGAACAACCGGTTTCATGTCGATTTTTATCGCTTGTTATGTTCGAACAAGGTTTGCCATGTTGGCTGCTTTGCACTGTCGCGTTTTTTCATGCACGCAAAAGCTTAAAACTTCCCAAGTTGCTGTATAATCAATTTTACGCCAAAAAGAACATACAAGATCATCAAGAGAATCCAATCTTATGCAGCTATTCAACCGTTGATTTTATTATAATGATCTCACTCCTTGCTCCGATTTGTATAACTGTATATTTTGTTTCTCTATATTATAAATATTACTTTTCATGTGCTCTTACTTTTTCTCGCTCTCATACACTTTCTATATTATTGTCTGTCTCTGTCAATCAGTTCTAATTCTATTGTCCAAGCTTAATTATCTATAAATAGCAGTTATGTATATTACATTTATGAGTATCATTTAAATTATTTTAAAATTGACGTGCGTATACACAGGTACAAAAAACGCGACAGTGAAAAACAGCGCTAAATGAGCCAACACGGTCATATATTTTGTCGTTGTTCTTTCATTCTGCTTTGGGCCAAACGTAATGTCAAGCTATTGGACTTACAAAGGAAATCCGTCGGGCAGAACTAAATATATTAATATTCACCACAATTATCGTTTAACTGTTTTCTGAATTTCTTAATTTCAAGGTGTTCTTGGCGAACTATAAGGAAAACTCTACAGTAAGACAAGACGTTGTTCCGTCGTTCACCACACGTGTGCTACGAATCATCCCAAAATCTTGGATTGGTAATTGTTCATTACGGATTGAAGTATATGGCCGGTATGAAGGTAGGGCCAAAATTTTATCATCATATTTATATATTTATCTCTGGTGGGCATGTTTATGTATCTGGTGGGCATAAGACGAATACACCCCCCCCCCTAATTAAGCTTCTAGCTATACGACTCTGGTAAAGGAACCGTGGCGTCCCCCCCCTCCCCTCCCCATCGTGTTGCTAAAAATTGTTTATTTATTGTTATAGGTTGCAGAGAAGTTAAAGGTCTAGGTGTAGAAAATAACAAGATCTTAGATAGCCAATTCTCTGCATCCAGTGAGGCTAGGTATGGGTTGAGACCAGCTGAAGCTAGATTGAACCTAGTCTCTCCTACTGGGGGCGCATGGCGTCCTCAAATCCACCCTAATTCTTGGCTTCAAGTTGATTTTTTGAGACACGCAAAAATCTCGTTGATTTTGACCCAGGGGCGATCTAATTATAACGCTTTTGTAACAAGCTACCTGGTGTCTTATTCAACAAACGAAGTGGATTTTCAATACATTAAGGAGCATGCGCGCGACAGGGTAAGTACACAATTTTATTTATCATTTATGCATAGATGTTTACACTCTGTAGAAATGTAAAATATAATTTTTTGAGATTATATTCGAATACTTATTTTGTTTAAATCTGCCTGTTACAGTCGATTTCAGATCACTTTTCACTGAGCGCTTCCCAAGTTTGTTGCGAAGTTGTCAATTACAATTTCAAATTTAGAAATAAAGCGTGAACTTCGCAACGAAATTAACAACGTAGTCCTGAAAATCGAATCTCGTAAATTCAATTTTCAAAATTCGTAATTCACAAGAGCCGATATGAGTAGAAATCCTTTCCCACGTCAAGGACGTGCACTTCCACTGAACGTACACGAAGAAAGTGTGGAATCGTGGCTAAATAAAACGCGACCATCTGAGATTGCAGAGCGATAATTATTAAAACTACCGTTACGAACGGTTTTAAATATTATAGAAAGGTTTATCGACAACGATGGGAATGTTCAGCCAACTGAGCCAGGACAGAGATTCAGAACTGCTCGAACAGATGACGTTGTAAAATTTATAGAGTATGCTAAAACGGTTAAACCAAGTGCATATGCTGCTGAAATTCAGAATCAACTGCGTCGACTCCACATTTTTCTGTAGTTCCTCACATTCTACTCGTTGAATTTCCAATTTTCTTTTTAAAACATGACACTGTGTCTGCAACGCGGGCAAGACGTTCTAAATATTATAGAGATGCGTCTTGTTTTGATTACAAAGTAAAAGCACATGAAAATCATTTTGTATTTTCCGGTAATATATACCATTTCACAACGTGAATATGAAAATTATCAACATACTTTACGTGCTTGAGGATGAGAGTCTTGATTTTCGTTCTTGCTGGCTACCCTTCTTCTAGAAATCGGTTGTAGTGGCAAATCTTCATGTAAAACTTAGATGCCTCAGGAGTAGCATTTCATTGCAAGGATAGTTGCATAGTGTAAAGGCCTACTTATACTATGCGATTTGTCGTATACAATTCGTACCCTGGCGTATGTGAACGTATAAACATGCGTACAAACGTGACGTTCTAAATTCCATTCAGAGCAATATCAATGGAGATTGTGGCGCAGGCACTCTTTTGCATTCATCAGAATGATAATTGCATACAACTTATTGTGCCGTCTAAATAGGCCTTAACACCGCCTTAATAAAAACTGCTTCATGTTTTAGGTTTTCCAAGCAAACTTTGACAGAAACACCATCTCCTACAATCCTTTGACGCCTTCAATATTCACCCGATATATTCGCATTCATCCAAAAACTTGGAAAAGTGAAATTGGACTTCGAATAGAGTTTAAAGGTTGCTATTGTGGTAAGTACAACAATTTAGATTTCAGACGTCAAACTTTTTCAGGTGTCCAACTTAATAAGCTTAATATATTATACACTTAATGTATGCTCCCGAGGGAAATAGTGGGTAGTGTCGCAGCTCCTCGCAAGAATGATTTTCATTGGCTGAACTTTACAATACATTTCTGTTTCAACCAATAGCATAGCTTCGTTCTTTAGAAAGCATACAAAAGCATTATCCAATTGGACGAAAGCTCCCGAGAGCTGCGACATGTCCCAAATAGTGGGTTTTGTTTTCCCAATACTAATTACCGGTAAAAGCGGGAACTGTGTACAAGAAAAACTCTTTTGAAAGTGGTATTGAGAGTTCTAAGGAGAAAACTCTCTAAAGATTTTAGCTTGGTGAAAGTTTTCACTGAGAACTGATACATTTCTATTTCGAAATTGAATTGTTATCTTTGCAATCTTTTGACCTAGATGTACCTTGTCCTGATCCAGAATCCCTTGGTATGGAAAGCTTCCATATTTCCAATAATCAGCTTACATCTTCCTCGACCCACGACAAATATTCCCGCCACACGAGTGCGAGATTGAATCTGGTCTCGGTTACTGGAGTTCGATCAGGGGGGTGGGTTGCTTCGCATGACGATGTTCAACCGTGGATCAGAATTGACTTTAGAGCAAATGTGACATTAAGAGCGATCCAAACACAGGGTCGGGAGGACGCTGACGAATGGGTCACCACTTACGAAGTATCTTATGGTACAACTTCGAATACCTACGATAAATTTCACGAAAATGGGCAGGTTAAGGTAGGTGTTTGAAAGCCTAACATCAGCGAGGTCATAGTTCGTATCTCTTCCCTTCTGCCATTTTGGAAAACAATTTAAACCGTCTGTTAAGAGCAAACAAACATAGGACACGGTTGAGATTGTAGTAGCTACTGTACGTCTTAAATTTTTGTCATTTCAGAAGACTTTCAAATTTCTAAGAATTTGTAGTAATGGGTGAAAAAAGCGCTCACGCCACGTAAAATATTTGTTGACTGCATTTGCGATAAGTCATATTTCGAAGAGCATCGGCGGCCTCGCCATATAAGAAATTTTATACCGTCAGATCTTAAAACATCGGATTTCGATAGGGAAGGTCGCAACGTATTTATACATTTTTGTCTTTTTTACATCGTTGTTAAACTACATTTGATGCAAAGCACCGCGCTTTTCTCTGGTTTTATTGGATTTTATAAATACGAAAAACGAAATAGTTGACGCACAAGTCACAGCATTTTTTAGTTTGTTCTGCTTTTTTGCAAGACATCAGCACTGCTCTATAAAGTAACAAAGGCGTAAGTCGAAGTTCCGAGGAATTTAGTCGCGTTTTCTAGCGATTCCAGTTACATGATATTATTTTGACCGACACTTGTTATACTTGACACTTTGTTATACAACCACCCGGCCCTTCTACCATTTTTAACTATTTTTCGTCTTTTGTAGGTGTTCTCTGCAAATAAAGACAGACATTCCGTTGTGACACAATTTATGTTTCCGCCATTGTATGGTCGTTTTGTTCGTGTTGAGCCTAAAACCTGGAATGGAAAATGTTCAATAAGATTAGAGTTTCTCGGGTGTCATGAAGGTAGGTTATGATCAGTGCAAAGCCCGTTTTCAACTAGGTGAATTCGTTAGGGCCGCCGAATTGTCGCTTGATTCGCCGCTGACAGGGCTGTCGCTAGAAGCTTAATTGGTGGGAGAGGGTGGTATATTTATATATTCATGTTCATACAACCGTAGAAACAATAGCTAACAAAAGAAAGCAGTCGGGCATAAGACGAATATATGAATATGCACCTCCCCAATTAAGCTTCTAGCGACGGCCCTGTGCGCTGAATTTTTTTATCCCTGTATTGTAAATGCGTTTTTTGTTTCACATGTTTGGCCTCAATATTGTTACTACGAATCTAACTAAGCCTCCCTCGGTAAATTCTTTTCACAGATTGTTCCTCTCCAGAGCCTCTTGGCATGGAAAACAAAACGATCAGGGACGATCAAATTGACGCGTCATCAAGTACGTGGACTATGTTAAAAGGTCGTCTTAATCTTCCATCGGGAGCTGCTTGGAGAGCAAACACAGATGACAACCATCCCTGGTTTCAGGTCGACTTCTTGATGGTAACGAAAGTTAGCGCAATCAAGACACAGGGGGAAGATTCCAGCAACTACGAACGCTATATGTCACATTACACATTATCCTATTGCAATGATGGTTTCCAGTTTCTAAAATATAAAGAGAACGGTCGCGTGAAGGTACAATATACCCCAAAAGACCTTATGCATAATGACGTATCAAGCCGTGACGCCTGCAGGGAATTCTGGTTTTTGTAGTCACTGCAAAAAATTCAAACTTCAAAATTTCCCGCCAAAACTACTAAGCCCAGAACCCCCTGCAGGTGTCACGGCTTGTTACGTCATCATTCATAAGGTCTATTGAGATAGAAACATTTCATTCTCGTTTGATGGTTTCTGAAAAAGATTCTCTAATCCATACCAAGGGCATTGTTCATCATATCCATTATCCATACTGTTATCCATCATTGTCCATAAATGTCCATAATCATCCACAGTAATCTATCATTATTAATGTTTGACCATAATTATCTATCAAAACTGTATTTCCCCACCATGGAGAATATTCCCATCTAATGTGTCAGTCACTTCGCAACTTGAAAGGTACACAGTTTCATGCAGGTTTAATTTGCATGAACGCAAGCAGTTTTATGGTTAGATTGGGAAAAGAGGCACAAAGTTTTAGGTTCAAACTGCAAAAATATTAACACGATTGGTAAAGTTTTTGATCCACTAATCAGGAATCAGGTATATACGCGGCCTGGGAATAAAAAAAAACTTTTCAAAACTTTTCACTCGTTCGGCATTACTCCCAACACACGAAATAAATTCCACGTTTCCGCGCATCCATGTATTATTCTCTATTTAGATACCGAATTTAATCTACTTTTAGATCTTCAATGGAAACGGCGATGAGAAAAGCATCGTGATGACCCGCTTGGCTCGAACACTCTTCTCCCGATTTGTTCGAATAAATCCAACTGTTTGGAAGGACTCTGCGTCTTTGCGGGTAGAATTTTTGGGATGTTACTACGGTCAGTAATCAAAATCAATAATTAGCAATTATACCACTATATTGTCGTACCTATATGCTATATAAATACCAGTTATAAGCGAGATAAATATTGCATAAACAAATTGCTAGATCGACCATTAATTTAATTTCGTCCAATCTTTCGCTGAATGTTTACATGTTGAAATAAATTTAAAAACGTTTCATGAACAAAAGGTTTCTGTTTTTCGTCAGTTCTACTTACCGTATAAATTTTTATATCTCATATTTTGTTTATTTGTTTTAAATCTCTGGGAAATGAACATTAAAAAAGTGTTTTCATTTCCTCTTTATCATTCCTAAGCAAAATTGTCGGCCATTTTGTTTTTGCTACTCACCGCATATGAGCTGATATCTGATGAGTATCTCGACCAATCAGATTACAGAACGGAGATTTGGTTTTTAACATATGGATTTGCTAGATGTGAACTAGTAATAAGTTAGCAATGCTCTGAAGTGTATGAGCTCCTATTTGAATATCAGTAACTATAATTCACTCGTTCATATCTATGAAATGAAGAAAATCACACATAAAATAGCAACAAAAATTGCATGTGTAAACGGGCCTTAAGATAGCTCTAGCACAGGAGGTCTTTTTTTGTACACCATGCAGGCATTAAAATAGCATGTCCTCGTACACATTTTGTGTCCTTGTAAAATGTGTATGCATATGTTCTTCTAAATTAAAGTGTATACCTGAAATTCCTACTGCACACGCTAACAACCTTTCCTCACCCCCATCTCCCCTTCAAGGGCCTCTCATCATCCCCCCTCCCTCTTCACTTTGAATATATTTACGCAACTGCTGTCATCTTTTTCGCGAAATCCTATTTTAGATTTTTAGTATTTCTTTTCAATTGTTTATTGTAGGATGCATTCATCCTAATGTGCTCGGAATGGAAAACGGACAGATACGTGATCATCAAATCAGTTCTTCGTCTGAGAAATCCGCCTCCGTTTCAGCGAGTAAAGCTCGATTGAATAAACACGGCGCGTGGAAGCCTTCGCCGGATGACGGGAACAAGTATCTGAGAGTAGACTTCTTATACCGCACCATTGTCGTCAGCGTTACCACACAAGGCTTCGTCGATGCATGGGCAAGCGATTATTCTCTCGCTTACAAAGAAAATTTTACATCCTTCAAGACATACAACGAGGATGGAGTTAAAAGGGTAGGTTATTAGTGAAGACGGGATTTTTTGGTCAATTGACCTTTTCAGCTTGCATGCAAATTAATTCATTTCAGATGTTGTGACCATGGAATAACCAATAAAACTTAACCATTTCAGACCATGTGACTTGAAATGGGTTAATTTGCGTACAAGCTGCAAAGGTCTATTGACCTGCGACCGGTTGTTCCAAAGCCGGTTAACTTAACCCTGGGTTAAAGCAAATCTTTACATCAAAATTTTAATCGCTTGTTTACAAAGTTGAATATGATTTTTCATAAATATTTTCTGGACTGACAAAAGCCGGAAGCATTTGAACCAAAACAGCTAGTGGACTAAAATTTAACCCAGGGCTAACCAAGGTTTGAAGAACTGGCCCCATGGTTGTCAGTGTATGTAGCTATGTATATTTGTTGTTGTTGTATAGCTATGTATATTTTTATCTCAGATATTCACAGCTAACACTGATCCAGATACGCCTGTTACAAACTTTCCCTCGCCGTTTATTGCTGCTCGACATGTTCGCATTCGCCTCGAAACTTCTAGTCCACTGAGGGTAGAGTTCAACGGCTGTTACGAAGGTAAATATCTATGATTGTGGTTGATCACATGCAGGCCAGATTGACTTTTCACATCGTTCTATTCCTAAACACGAATATTTCTCAAAAACGATTTGTTGTTCTAGCAGTTTATATGCAAAGTAGCTATAATTCTTTTAGAACATTTGCGGTTTCTTAAAGTTCTATTTAACAATTACAAGCCTATATTTTTCTATAAGTTTATAACCATTTTTTGTATAACCAAATTTTGATTCATAGTTTAAATACAACAACAAAAATCTATAATCACCGGCCAGTGCATGGCTATCGCTTCATGCAGAGACAGTCAATTTTGACCAATCAGAAATGCAGGAAAATCAATAGTCGCCTCGACATTTGTCCTAAATTATTATAGTGCCGTGTAGTAGAATAATAATGATGAATTTTGCGGGTAATATCACCAAGCATTTAAATTTATTCCGACCTTCTTATACCCATCTTCCAAAAAAGTTAAGATTCCCTTTCGTTTAGTGTTTGTTATGGCCCGGTTTCAAACGCAGAAACCTCTAGAAGATATAGCTAGAAGATACTGAATTTTTTGATATTGTTGTTCAATGGATTTATTTTAAAACATTTTTTATCCCGAACAAGGCTCACCAAGCATGTATAGAACCTTTAACTCTACCTTTAATCGCAACAAATGAATTACGTACTATTTAAAAAACGAGTAGGATCTACGAGTTTTTTAAATGGCTTAAAAAACGTATCCATCTTATGAGTTCAATGGCGAAGAAATTTTAAAAATAAACCTTGTCAAAGCCGAGAAAATCAAAGTTAAAGTTTATGTAAATGAACATGAATCTATATCACATACAGGGTGTTCCAAAAAAAAGTCCCCGCTATTGAAATGAAGCTTTTGTTGGAATTTGAATGCATGATCAACGCAGTAGTGTGTAAATAGCATATTTATTAGGTTGAGGCATTCAAATAAAGCGTCTTGCTTTCAATTGGGTTTATCATAATATTAAGGCAATCAGATTCGGACAAAGGCTTGATTTCAATAGAGGGGACATTTTTTTGGGACACCCTGTATAAAGACACTGATTAAACATTAATTTCTTTTGAAATTTACTCATGAATTATTAATGAGTTTTTTAAATATATATAAACCCTCTCACAAAAGCTCGCATTGATTATACCTCGATAAAATCGTTTTTTAGATGTCGATATTTGTTCTTCGCTCCCGTGTTTAAATGGCGGAACATGCGTTGATATATTTGATATTTACAATTCTTTCACTTGCGTCTGTTTGCCTGGATTTACTGGGGTCTATTGTGAGTCAGGTGAGATTTTGGAATGCGTTAAAACAAATCGTTTGTGCTCTTCTATTATGCTATTATTGTTTAATTCGGATACCTCGGAAATTGGTAAGATTTTTCAATACTTAGCCGGAATAAGCCTTCAAACTTTATAGTGGGAAAAGAGATTTATAAATCCTCAACAAAATATGTCTTGCACAAAATATTTGAAGCTTGCAAAACCAAATCGTCTGAATTAATAACCTTGTGTATACTTAAAGCCTCAAAATGGCTATTTCACAGCTGTCAGATGTGTATGATAAGCTGTCAAAAGATTGCAGAATGCGTACTCAGAAGAAAAATTGAACTTTTTAAAGTTATTCAATAGTTTTCTCTTTGATAGCGGTACAGCAATGCACAATTGTGAACCAGTGATTAGATTTTCGGGTTGAAACTTCATAAACACCAATTTCTGTTGTGTTATTGACTTATTGTAATGCATTTACTTATTTCTATAGTAAATTGTATCATATTTTTGCAGTACATTTCATGCAGTTGTGTTTCCCAAGTTGTTTTTATGTATTTTATATTTTGCAATTTGTTAGTGTTGCACATTTATATCTTTTTATTGTGCTAAATTGATTCCGAACTGTTGTTATTGTGTCAAAGAACATGCATGTGAGCTATCGTGGAGAGTTTGAGATGTTTAATCATTTTTATTGTTCTCTACTATCTTAGCATGCTTGGAACCGCGGTCTCTCGGCATGGTCAATGGTCATATTAAAGATTATCAAATAACTGCGTCATCAACTGACCGCCTAAGCTCTTACTTAGCAAACCCCTTTGAAGCTCGTATTAATAACACGATATTTTCACGATGTGGTTGCTGGTCACCTCAGAGTAATTCCACTTCTGAATGGCTCCAGGTAAGTTGATATGTGGAAAATTCAGATTTTTCCTAGCTTCGATTGTTCAGTTTTAGTTATTGCCTCGGTTCTTTTCCGTGCTGTAATTCCGATCTGGACTTTGCCTGCATGGCTTTTGAAGAAATTGAACAAAAGGAGATCTGCAGAAGAGAACGATAAAAAGGTTCACTTGCACAGTTGTAAAACATTTCTCCTTTCTCTTTAGGTTGATTTTTTGAAGCAGATAGCGGTTACCGCCGTTCAAACACAGGGAAGGAACGACGTAGACGAGTGGGTTACTCAATATCAAGTTTCCTTCAGTCAAGATGGAACAAACTTTGTTCATTTAATGGACGGATATGGAAATATCCAGGTTTGCTGTTCATAATCAATGCATATGACAGAATGTTGACAAAATTTCTGTAGCTCAGACAGAGAGAGAGAACTACATGCAACCCTGTGTAGATAGTTTTACATAGTCATTTTTCTTCGAGATATATTTACTTGTACAGCGATTCTAACGCCTGTATGTATTCAAAACGCTCATGACCCACACTCTTCGAGTCTTACATAGAAATTTTGTTACTACTATTCAATGAGAAAGTTCTTTCTTATATTCAATAAATAGATTCAAGGTAGAACATTAAAAATCAAGCCATTGTTTGACTAAAAATACCGCCATGGAAAAGTTATGAGAGTATTGAGATCTTCCACTCAATGAGTTTGAGTTTGAGTGAGCTTTTAGAATACAGGCGTAAATATATTTGCAAAAGCATATAACCATGCACAAGCAGTGCAAACGTTGCGTGTGATTCAAAATATTTAAACAGAATTCAATAAATGTTTTCAAATTTAGAATTTTATTGGAAACTCGGACAGAACTTCGATTGTAACAAGAGCATTGTCTCCCAAAGTAGTGGCACGATTCATTCGTATTCACCCAACGTCGTGGTTTACAGCAATCGCTCTCAGAGCAGAGTTCATTGGTTGCTACACAGGTATGCATGAGTTTTCCAGTGAAATTAGCATTTAGAGCGTAGCGAGCATCGTTTTCGAGCGTTTTCAAAATCGTTTTTGTCTTTTAAAGTGTTTATTGACGCCCTGCCCGCACGATTCGAAGAAAAATGTGCTTAATAACGGTTAAATTAGCTTCAACTTCTATTGTAAATTGACGGTATTTGAAACCGTTCTGGAATGAAAACGAATGTGAAAACGCTCGAAAACGTTATACCATGTGCACATAACCTTTGTGAGGAAAAAGATTTATAAGTATTCATCAAAATATGTCTTGCACAGAAAAATTGAAGCTTTTTTAAGCCTCATAATGGCCATTTCACAGCCGTCACATGGGCTGTCAAAAGATTTCAGAATGCGTATATTCAGAAGAAAAATTAAACTTTTTAAAGTTACTCAAAAGTTTTCTCTTGATAGCGGTGAAGAAATGCACAATTGTAAACTAGTGATTTTCGGCTTGACTCTTCATAAACACCAATTTCTGCGGTGTTCTCGTCCATGGAATTGATGTTGCAGAATACGCGTACTTCAATGATGACAGTACATCCTATATTAATTTCTAGATATGACGTGCCTATTCCCAAGACCGCTCGGAATGCAAAATGGTCAAATAAAAGATGCTCAATTATCCAGTTCTTCTGTAAAACCGCACTTTTGGGATTCACTACGTTTTACAACTGCCAATAGCAGACTTAATAATAGCCCTGAAACTACTCGTTGGAATTTTTGGCTTCCACTTGAGACGGATACGAATAAATGGTTTCAAGTGGACTTTATTGCAAACGTGACTGTCTCGGCAATACAGACGCAGGGTCGAGATAGAACTTATTATTACACATACTGGGTGAAGTCATATACTGTTAGCTATGGTTACAGTAACTCTGATCTCGAACCGTATAAAGAATTTGGAATCACTAAAGTGAGTATTTTAGCTTCGTATATAATGTATAAAAAAAACGCAATTTGCAATTCAAACTTTTTGTTTTGAAGTTTACAGTACCATTATGTTATGCCATTGAAGTTTTGCCAAACAGTTTATTATGGTTTGAACAGTTTGTTATGTCATTGAAGTTTTTCCAAACGGTTGTATTAAGGACAAAAATGAATTTGTAGTTGATTTCTGAATACCCATGGGACATAAAAGTTCTTTTGCGCGTTGACTGAATCTTCGGCTGTACGAGAATCTATCTTGTAAATAGATTTCTTGCCTGAAATATTTAAGAAACGTATCGTTGAAAACACAGATGAGCAGGCTTAATAAAATGAGATAATTCTCGATTGATTTTATCACGTTTTCATTTCGGAATCCGGCTTGAAAGGTTAATTGCGTTTTTCGGGACACCCTGTATAATTATAGCCTTTTGAAGTTTTGTTTGATGTTTCTACAAGAACCCCTTTCAAAATTTTAACCACATAATAAGTTGTTACCAAGCCAATTATTCACTAGCAAGTTTCGCATGCCTGAATTTGTTCTATTTAACCTTTTAAAAATGAGAATACATATTGATTGAGAAAACTGGCTTCATAGCCAGTTATGAAGCGGCATCCGTGCGTTAATCCTTTATTAAGCAAAAGACAAGAATATACATTTGAAAATCAAATCTTTACATATATCGTGCACTTCTAAAAAGGTAAAGCGCTTCACCCCTCTCTCTCCGTTTCTTCAACTGATCTGCAAAAATTTACATCTCACAGATTTTTACTGGAAACACTGATAAACAAACCGTTGTAACCAACCAAGTATCGCCGGCGATTTTAACTCGATATATACGTATTTATCCAACGACGTGCACGACGCGGTGTGGCTTAAGAGCTGACTTCATTGGTTGCTACGAAGGTAGGTTGGATTTAATCATCCTTATTTTTGAAACTGATTTGTCAGCTGGAGTGGTAAAGTGGTGAGTAAAGTGATAAATTTCCCATGCAAAATATTAAGAATTTTAGTAAGGATTGTTCTGGTGCCTTTAGAATAGAACATATTTCTGCTGTGGAAATTACCATCCCACTAAGTGACGTGAAGACGTCAAAAATAATCGTTTTTTCATCTTGGTAATTTTTTTTGCCCAAGTTCCAAAATTCCAGCCCCCCATTTTGCAAGCAACAAAATAAATAGCTAGTTAGTTTGACGATGACATGCATTTGAAGTCGAAATATCACGAGATTTTAGTATCGAATCTTGTTGTTTAAAATGCCCACTCACTGACAGTAAAAATGGAACAATTTGTTTTTTGAAAAAAACTTTTACTATACAAAGATCTCATTAATTTATTTATTATCCATTGTTTTTTCAGATATCGATACGTGCGAGTCGTCTCCTTGCCAAAATAATTCCACCTGTCAAGATTCCTTCGACTTCTATAATATTTTCAAATGTATCTGCACTCCAGGTTACACTGGAGAGCAGTGCGAGACAGGTAAGAAAAAAAATACTCGTGTACATTTTCATGGTGACATGACATCAAATAAGTCAACTACCTTGTAGGTACACCACGTAAGTATTTAATACTGCAAAGCTTTCGGTCCGTTAACCCGGGCCTTCACCAGAGCACAGTTAAGCCTGGGTTAAAAGACCGAAAGCTTTGCAGTATTAAATACTTACGTGGTGTACCTACAAGCTAATTGACTTCTTTGATGTCACCATGCAAACGTACGTATAAACATGTAACGTATAGGTAAGAACTTGTTTTGTATTAGGTATCAACTATGCATGAATTAATAAGATACATATGCTTTCACAGCAATTTTTTCTTTCTACAGAAATTGACGAGTGCCTCTATTATCCCTGTCTGCACAATGGAACATGTCATGATTTTGTAAACTTTTACAATTGCTCCTGCACACGTGACTATAATGGTACTAATTGTGAACACGGTAAGGCTTATTCGATTATCTTTACACGTCTAAGAATAGTTCTATTTTGATCGAAAATCTAGTCTAAAACGTTAAAAATCCGCTTTTGAACAATATGAATGTCAAGTGATAACAGCTTGACCAACTGACTGATAATAGGTTTATTACAAAGAAGGCCCAGATTATAGTTTGATCTGATTAGTTTTTCCCATGTTTTTGTATGCTCAATTTTTCCACATAAATAATGTGCATGGATGAATCTGTTTCCTTCACTTTGTAGAAATCATCCATCCAATTACAAATCTATCTTTGTTGCCTTCGCTGTCTGTTCATAAATTTGGGGAAAGCATTCTCGTCAAATGGGAAATGGATGAAGGTACTCGTGTGTCGGTGATGGTGCACTACAATGGTGTCCCATGTTGCAATGTCACCCAATTGATGCACGTAGGGAGCCAGTGTGTTTGCCTGGTGTCGGACCCAAACCTCTTCGACCCCGATGGGCTGGTAGACATAGAGATTCATGCCTCAAACCCAGTTTCCAACGAAATTCGCTCCGTCGCGGTGGAAGTACGAAAACTGATCGAAAATCCTACGATATCGATGCTCACGAGCTACTCGGCATTTGGATCTGGGGTCGAAGGTCGTGGTAGCCTACAAAACGTGTTTCCAGCGGAATATCCTGTAAAAATTAGCGCGCAGTATCAATATGGACCGGCTAAAAATACTACTTGGATTTTTGACTGTAGTATTTCCGGTATAACATTAGAATCGCAGTTGAACGTTGATAAAACGTTTCCAAATGATAAGAGCCAATTGTGTGACGTAAAACTCACATTAAAGAACAGCTTTAGTGAAGTGTCAACAAATAGATCGATAGTCTTGAAAGAAAGTGTCATTCTTAATAGTTTGACCAACGACGGTCCTGTGAAACTAAACAAAACCATGACGTTTACAATTTCGTTGCAAAAACTAGGTTGGGATACTTGTATGTGGGTTGACTTAGGCGACAACAGTTCCCTTCTCGTGTACGGGGAAGCCTCTTGTGAAACTAAAATCGATGTCTCTCAAGTCAATCCAAATATAATGGAAGAACCACGATTGAAGTTCTTTCCTAAAAATTCGAACACCCAACAGATTGTCATCACCCATGTTTATCCTCGTTTTGGTTCCTATGACGTCAGGTTGAACGCGTCAAATGATGTTTCCATGGCAACAGAGAGTTTAGTCGCAGTCGTACTTGCCTTAGAATGTCGCAACCCTAATGTTACAATTACAGGTATAACCTTATCTACATTTGCGCATTATTTTCATTTACGTGCAGCTATAAAGCTGAAAATGTTCTGTTACTTTTTTCTTGCAGGATTACTTCCAAACAACTCCAATTTACTGAACGCTGTCCAGGTCTATCGATCGTCCATAGTCATGCTTTCAACCGAAAAACAAATAGACTGTGAAATCACTCAGGACACGAAAGTAATTTGGACAGTTCGCAAATTCGACGACAATGTCAAAGCGTTAAGCACTATTCCCGGGCTATCCCTTGCCAATTTGCGGAAATCAGTTTTTCAGGCGGATATCGCTGCTGCCGATTTGTTGTTGCCTTCGCGTAATTTCCAATATGGTTTCTATGAGATCAGCGTCCGGTTGGAGATGGAAGGTCTGCCTGATGTGTTTGGAAGTAGTTCGTTTTATATCGAAGTTGTCCAGACACCTTGGCTTGAAGCTGGCGTAACAAGCGGTTCGTTCTATACCGTTCCTTATGGATTCATGGTTAGTACTTCTTAATGAACAGTCGATTACTAGAAAAATACTGCTTTACTTACAAAATTTGTAGCAATAATATTTATAGTCAGATACTTTCAACTCCCCAACTATAGCGCATATTGTGTACTAATTGTGCACCAACTAGCTTATATTGTACGCAAATAATACATTTTTATATTCTTTTGTTAATTTTGTGTTGAATCTCTTCTATGTTGTTCATTGCCAGGGTTCTCTCAATGCCTCGTCTTCGGTAGATCCAGATTTTCTCGGAACAGATGGAATGAATTTCTCGTGGTACTGCAGAGATGTTGACGACAACGAATTTCTTCTTCCTGAACTGGATAAAGAACCTTTGATTGCGATTCCTGAAATTGATGAGGATGCGGAAGCTGGAGACGAAGTTCATTCCAATGTAATTTGCGTGTGCAAGAGAAAACCTGAGTATTAATTTGACTCGAAAGGGCCTACATTTAAATTGTTTCAGACCTCTTTACAAGGAGGAATTTCGTTTTGAACTAATCAGCAAGTTTGTTTACATTTTCCAGGCTGTCTAGAATGTCTAATTTCTGAGTACTTCATGTAAAATGGTGAATAATATACCTTTTTACCAAAAAAAATCAATCGTGATTCTGACTGAAATATACTAATTGGAGTAAAACGAAATTCGTCCTTGTTGACCTCTTTAAATTCAGACCTTGTACACTAATTAACTGATAACCTTTTTTATCCTTTGTAATTTTCAACAATTTTATTTTTAGCTTGGTGGGTGCTTTGGAACAGGTCGGGGTCAATTGAACACAACTGGAATCTTTGTGGAATTGGATACTAGGGCGATGATAGAAGATAAAACGTAAGTTTTCGATATTAAATTTGTCTCAAATACACAGCCGGATAGGCATAGCAGCTAAGATAGCAATGGTAGAGAAAGAGTTAGTTTCTTATTATTATTGTTCCTTATTATTCCTTTATTCATTTCTTATCTAACTGCTATGTATAGCCCCGTTTTTCCGTGATATACTCTGCGAAAAAAAATCAAATGATATTCAACGAGCCTTTGACAAGTAATTGTTTTTGTATAAAGCGTTATAATTTTTTGACGAGAAAACTAGAGGATCCAAGCGACCTGAGGATTTGATCTTTTTTAAGATAACTTTCAATATTTTTCTACATATAATTTCCTATAAATATTTTCTATAAATGTATCTTTGTTCACTGTGGATGTAGATATACGATTTCTCTCGTGATTTCGACCGACCATCCGGAATTTGGACTTCGACAAGACATCACAAACATTTTCTTTTACGTGGCCAAAGGTCTTCCTCCTGGCATAAAAACAAGGTAATTCCAGTAAAGTAGTGAAAGTTTACTCTTGACTTGCCTGGTTTTGCTTAAATCTGTTTTCAAACTCTCTTCACAGCTGTAAAATGAACTGTAAGTCCAAAATCAACACTGACGAGAAAATTATCCTCGAATCATTTTGTGATGCTCGTTGTTACGGCGAATTAACGTTCCTTTGGTCGCTCTACCTGTACGATGACGTGAACACGCCGGAGCCTTATAACTTAACGGAACTTATTGAAATCCCGAGAGAAGAGTTCAGTAACATGACATCCAACCCCGTTGATGAGCTTGATCTTGCTATCAAACCGAATTCTCTGAAAGAAAACAAGAAATACATCGCAGCATTCCGGGCAATACGACCTAGTGGTGTTGTTGGCGAGCTGAGATACACTTTGCTCATGAATTCGCCTCCGGAAAGAGGTAAGTTCAATTTGATTGGCGATCATTCTAGGATCACTTGCTCGTTATGTTCATTTACAATTAGGAAGTGAAAAGATCATTATGTAAACGACAATTTACTTGTAGGTTCCCTGTAGTTGAAATATTGTATTTAGATTTGAGAGTTCAAAAAAATTTACATTTTACCATTTTAAAACTTGAAGTTAATAAGTTCACGACAAAATCCATCGCAATCATTGTCAATACTCTGGCTTAATTCATGACCCAATTTGGTCGTGAATGTAATCTTTCTGACTTTCTGTGTTTGTTTACTTTCATTAATTAAACCAGAGTAGCGATTATTGCGATGGACCTAAAACTTATTACGCTTTTCAAAAAATGCTGCCTATTATTTGAGCACATTATCGTCCATAATATTACTCGGAAATTTTCAAATCAGATTCGCTTTTCATCTTCAGGAAAAGTTCAATGCATTTTAGTTATTTTTTATCGCCAGGGACCTCCATTTTGTATCAAGCCCGTTTAGCTTAAACGCCGGGTTAAGTTCAAAATAGAAAGCAAGTCTGTCGTTTTATTCAACAAGCAAACTAAATGTTTTCAACCTTATTATAATACAAAGATATTGTTTACAACCACATATTTAGAGCATAGTATTCAAGTTGACTTATTCAAGAGAGTTGTAAGACTAAAAGTGTTATTTATTTTGACTTATCCACCGTTTAAACTAAACGGACTTGATACAACCGGCTTTAGATGGTTGCTCTAACTTTTTTTCTAATAGGAAACTGTTCGATATTCCCTTATTCTGGCATTGCGTTGGAAACGAATTTCACGATCACTTGTCAGGATTGGATAGACCCAGACCCTCCTCTGCTCATTCAATTCGCGTACATTAACAACGGAGCAAGGGTGATATTCGCCTACCAAACAGTCGCTTCTGGCAAGGCAGCAACCGTTGTTGATCGACTACCAGTCGGTGACGTAATGAACGATTTCAACCTCAACATAAGTGTGCTAGTTCTAGATGTCATCGGAAGCAAGTCGGAGTATATTCTTACGGTCCAGGTATATCATTGTCTTTGCTAAAGGTTTGAAGAACACTCTTTGAAGAAATAGTCCTTAACACTCCCCGACCCTTCTTCGATAAGGATGGCCTCTATAATAGCCAATGTGGATATTATGAATTAGATTAGATAGACTGTGTGCCTATGACCGAGAGGTAAAGGGTCTCTTAAAATTTTTGGCTTATTTCGAATGCTTGAGTTTTGTTCACGGTGTAATTTCGGTTCGGGTAAGGTCTACAGAATCGACAATCTCGTGAATTTATTCTCGACAGACTCGGCGGGTTAAGTCGACATGTAAAAACTAAAGATAAACAGTACGAATACATACAAAACTAGAAAACTAGAAAACACAGGATTACACTAAATTACCATATAACAGAAAGATATAGAGTTTGGTATATTATCTCTGTCGCCGAATTAAGTTTGCGGCTTTCTATACGATGGTTTTCTTTCGAGTATATTCGAGTATTTCGAGTATTATCGAGTTAAACGTTTCACGATTTCCACAAGTGTGTTTTTTAACTAACGAGATCGGCTATATATGGTTCATGTTACATGGTTCAATGAACAAGAATTGATTAGGTTAACTAACCATCAGTGCATGTATTACACGTGGATTCATGCAACGTAACACACGGCATTGTTTATTTCTTCACGTCAGGTTCGTCCTCCGCCTGAGATGGCGGATATGGCGGAGTTGGATAAGTTGATGTCGGCATATTACAACAGCCTCGAACAGCTTCTTGACGCCGGATTGAATCAACAAGCAATGAGTTTCAGTGCTTCCTTGGGAATTTTACTGAATTTAGATGGCAACGGTACAGCAGCTGATTCACAACAACAGGGAAAGATTTCTACCCAGGTAAATCTTAATACAGACTCAAAGCTTATGTATACTTAGGGCGCTTCCCATTTACGGGTCAAAATGGTCAGACCGGTCATATTTAAAATTGAAATAGAGTATTTCGTTAATAATATAACGATAAAACTATATTTTTCGTGCTAGGCAGATGTAAATAACGATATACTTGAATGCAGAGTTCTTGAAACACTCTAAAATACCAGTGATCTGTCTGTACCGAAATACAACAGGACCGGTCTGACCGTTTTTTCCGTATAAAGGAAAGCGCCCTTGACGGACGGTAAATCCCACTGAGAGGCGTTGCTGTGCGGAAACTGAAGGGGTCACCCCCCCCTCTTCTAGTTAAATTATGCGCCCCTGTTAAAATTATATTCTTCTTTAAAAAGAACCTTGTTATGTAGCTTCATATACCGTCTATATGCAAGGCGTCTGTAGGTGCTCATGAAATGGTCTTGAAATTTGGGCTTCATTTACACTGGCGGCCTGTCCCCCTGCATGCCCCTTAGGTTTCTGCTGACCCTCCCACGTGTAACCAAAATCTTTTCTACGGCTCTGAATCAACTGGAAATAAATTTGAAACTTGTAAAAATCTTTTGTATTTGTGGTGTATGGTCGTACTAGGAAATGAGAAAACGTTTATTCCTTGTTTCAGATGCGTTTGAAAATCCTGGAACAGCTGGTTGGCGCGAACATCACGGCTGAGGATATTTTATCATTAATGCAACAAAGTATGCTTCTCAATTTGATAACAGAGAAAAAGGACGACTTGTTGCCCGAAGCTTTAGTAAGTAATCTGTTCTTCTTTTTCTCATTGGTTTTCCCACAGGCGTCCATGTAAACAATATACATGATACATAAAGTGACATACATTAAACATTTCTGCTTTCCGATTAATCGTAATACTTGATGAAAAAACATAATCTTGTCTTTGCACTGAGACTAATTTACATTTGTTTCAATCACTGCGCGTTTTATCAAAAATTTCGGACCAAACTCACCGAACCCATTTTGTCAATAATGACGACCATAGACGTCAATCGAACAGGGGCCCCAAGGATCCCTAATTGCGGAGGGGGGGGGAGCAAATATTCATATATTACCGTTGGGTATTAGTAGTTTCTTTTAAAATTGATCGTTATTACGGGATGCTAACATGAATATATGAATATTTCCTCCCTCTCATCACTTAACGATTTTTCACGCCCACCGCAATCGAACGTTAATTGTGGGGCGGGCAATATATGAAATATATTCTGTTATGCCAGGCTGATTTCTATTGAAAGTGAAATTGTTTTGAAAAGAAATTAGCCACGTAAAGCAGAATATTTTAATATGGTCCCCCTCAATTAACGGTCGATTTACGCCAATGATGACGACGTTGTCAAGTATGTAGTTCTCAAATACAGGTCTTTCAAAATTGCTCCAAATCTCTATCTTCAAGGACTCTTCCATTACGCTCTGCAGCTCACTTACACAAAGTTTAAAGGAACTATCGAATGGCGGTGCAGGATTCAAAGATACTAAAAATGCTGCCAGTACAATTGTCGGAACGTTAGGTCAAGTTATTTCAAAATCGTCCGAAAACGCAAAAAATCTATCTTCTGGCGATCTAAAACAATCGGTAAGTGACTCAATTCAGGCAGTCTGGTGCGTAATTGCATAATTTTGTGTTAATGCATTATTCTGATACATTCATGTTTACAAATATACCACTTTGAAGCAACTTTTTTGCAAATTTAAAATTTTAAAGGTCAAAGTAAAGTCGTTCAAAGATTCACCTGTTTCAAGATTCGCTCATTTAAAAAACATTCCAAAATTATTCAAACCTCTAATTTGTAATTCAGTATTTAAGACCTTTAACCGCTTGTCGACTTTACTATATGAAGGAATTGGTTTTAAGATTTATAAAAAATCGTATTCTGTTTGTGTCCTTATCTTGAAGTTCGCTCTTCGACATCCTTTTCTCCTGGAAAGAAATTCGTTATATAGTAATAAGTTACTTTTGACAGTTCGTCACATTTCCCATTTTTGCTGCTCTACTTTTCAGTCAGGGCAGGTGAAAAGGTCAATGGCGCTTCTCAACACAGTTCAAGATGTTCTCCTTGGCAAGCTTGTGACCAGCGAAGGTCCCTTGACGTTGGAAACACCATCGTTGTCCATTCAAGTTGAGAAAATAAAGATAAAAAGTATTAGTGGTCACAAAAGCACTTTGGGAAAATGCGGCTTCACTCCTCCTTCGCCACAAGGCCTTGGTTTTGAGGAAGGTAATTTAAAGGTCGAAAGACAGCCAGGAAAATTTTTTGTCGATCAGAAAATGGAGGACCGAAAGCTCTGAATATAACAAATGCACGTTGTGTTTTTTGCAAATCTCATATTTGTTTACTGCCTAAAATATATTCAAGGATATTCTGCTCAAAAAAAGTAAAAGTACGAAGCTTGGTTGCGAAATGTGAAAGAATAAGGGAAATATTGTGTGGCAAAGCTTGCACGTTTTGTATACGTTTTTATAACCCGTGGAAATTTTTACCACGTTTCTTAGACATGACTTGGGTATAGTGTAATTGACCATTATCTCGCCACAAAGAAATAGGCGAATAAAGGTGTAGCGTGGTGAAGGTTGAAAGGAAAACAAATGCCTTAATCATTTCAAATGGTTCCATTTAGTTACTCGGGATCCAAACAACACAATTCTTCAAATGCAACCTCTTTCGATCAAGGTAAGAACAGATTGCGGTTATATTCGCTTTCAGAACAGCAGCTTTTCCGACCGGGATCCGTAAATTTGCTGAAATTGCTGCATAAGGCAACTTTGAAGTCTGAGTTTCTAACTCATCCAATACTAAAAAACTGGTAGTGCATTGATCTTCGTTGATTTTCATTTCAGATGGGTGTGTTGAAAGACAATTTATTCACCTGGGACACAACAAGTGAAAACATGGCTTCAAACGTTGTCGACATTGTCCTTGAATCAAATTTGAACATGTCCACGTCAAATTTCACTGAAGAGGCTTTCATTAAGGTGGCTCGTGATCCATCGAAATTTCCTCCAGTCGATGCGTTCTATTTGAAACCGGGCGAAGAAAATCACACGAGCGGAACCAAGGAGTTCCTGAAGTACCATTGTTTGACACGAAAAAGCAATTTTACATCGATAAACTTTGATCTACAGCCTGAAGATATCGGGATCAAGTTGGTTGTTTACATGAAAAAAGGTGGCAGACCTAATGTGGGAAACGATGAATATGACAAAGCCTTTGAGCTTCCAGATTTGTCCAGCTGTAAAATAAGCCATAACAGTGAACAGAATTCAAATCGTTCGCTAGACGAAGACTTGGTCTATGTCGTTCCATCAAATTGTTCTCGAAACCCTTACACCTTGTTTGTGTCGAATACGGGCTTAAATGGGACGGGTGAATATTGTTTTGGTAAGTTTTTTGATTTGGTAAGCTTTTAGCCCCAAGAATTTATTCTTTTTGTATCTTTTTGTAAAGTTCAAGTTTATATATTTTTTCTATATTACTCATAGCCGTTAACCTTTGAAGTCCATTGCTAAGGCACTTATTCCGTTCATTCTCATTCCGTTTATAGCCATCCAATACTTAAGTAATTTAAACAAGACAGATGACAAAATGGCGTCTCGTAGACGTCGTTCAGTTTCGTGCGAAGTTGGCGCGAAAAGAGTCCGTCGGTCATGTGTTATTATCCCTACACCTCCCCCTAAAACAACCAATGCCCCTCCTATTGAAATCTTGGTAGCGGACAATCTTGGCTTTGATGGAAAATTCTTTTTCCCCAACCAAACTCCAAACTACAATCTCACGATGTTTGAATCGAGTTGTATGCATTGGAATGTGGTAAATGAGTCTTGGACAGGTGAAGGATGCAGGGTGGGTGCTTATACCAGAATAGTTTTCTTCAAATTACACCCAGCTAGGGTATTTAATATTTTACCTTTAGTATAGGAAGAAAGCTACAAGATTTAAAAAAAAAAAACTAAGTTGAATTGTCCCAACCGTGCATGAGTTATTAATATTCTTGTATGTTTGCATGGTGACAGTCGATAAGTAATTTAGCATGTAGGTACACCACGTAAGTATTTAATGCTGCAAAGCTTTCGGTCTCAGTGCAATTGCACTGATGAGGGTCCGGGTTAACGGACCGAAAGTTTTGCATACTTACATGGTGTATCTACAACCTAAATTACTCATGCATGAGTTACCTTGAAAACATCGACAATGTAGCAGGTATTTTTTACTTTCATTGTAAACAGGTAGCCTTGGGCACGAACAAGGAGCAAATCAATTGTTATTGTAATCATTTGACATCGTTTGGAAGTGACCTTCTCGTTGCGCCAAACCCAATCGATTTCGATTCAGCTTTTAAAAACTTTGGCAGTCTTGCTGAAAATGTTGCAGTGCTGGCTCTGATATCAACTATCCTTGGCATTTACATCGTTGGTGTTGTCTGGGCAAGACGAGCAGATAAAAGAGATTTGTTAATGGTAAACTTTCTTTTGTGATTGTCAATACTGAAAATAAGATCGAGGAAAAAATAGTTAGTTTGCCATGCTTCGTTTCGTCTCGTGTTGGGCTTTAAGTTTTTTCTGCTTTGTTTCCTCTTCCTGTTCTGCGTTGTGTTATTTTGTTTCATGGTGTTTTTTCTTTCTGATTTCGCTTTCATTTATTCATTCATTCTATTTCTCTTCATTTTGTGTTGGCTGTGTTGTTTTTTGTTGTTTGGTTTCTCGTTTCCTTTTATTTCGTGTTAACTGTTGTGCTGTCTATTTTCTTTTTTGGGATTTTTTTGCTGTGTTGGTTTTTTTTGTCTTCTCGCTTTTATGATGTTTACTTTTATTTCGTTTTAATTGTGTTGCGAATGTCTTGTCTTACAATATGTACACTGTGTTGTTTTATGTAACCTGAATTATTTTGTCCTGTCTTTTATCCTCTTGTGTTGTTTTTCTTTTTTTTCTTTAACTATGTCTTCTCTTCCCTTGTTTTCTCTTTTAGTGTTATTTTGTGTTGGTTGTGTTGTTGTTTTTGTATTGCCTCGTCTTTTACTTTTTTGTGTTGTTTTTCTATACTTTCTGTTGGCAGTGTTCTTTTTTCGTTTTATCTTCTCCTCTTTCTTCTCTTATGCTGTATTTCCTTCCATTGTGTGTAATCATTACTTAATCTTTTTTTCTCTGCCTGATTTTTTGACGTCATCTTACTACTTCTAAGGTTGGTCCAACTATCCTCTCCAAACCTAAAGGATCCTATCGTTACCTCATCACCACCTACACCGGCAGCAGACAGGGAGCAGGAACTACAGCTAGAGTCGTATTTACGATGAGTGGAGAGAAAGGTGAAACTGAACCTGTCAGGTTGAGAGACCGTCATAGACCTTTCTTCGAACGTGGCCAAGAAAACGCCTTTGTTGTTTCATACCCAAAGGGAGTTGGTGAACTTATCCGTCTCAAAATTTGGCACGACAACAGTGGTGAGAAAGAATTTATACCTAAGAGCATTATAATTTATTCCGACGCAATTTGGACTTGACATTCATGTCGTTGACAAACCTGTAAAAATATTCTTATATGTTTGCATGGTGACATCATGGATAATTAAATTATTTTATAATTTAATTCATTTAATTATCCGTGGTGACATCAACCGCAAAGCTTTCGGTTCGTTAACCCAGGCCTTCATCAGTGCAATTACCTGACTACACATCTACGCGTCACTTAAATATCACGTTAGTCGTGATTTGTTAGCTCGCGTCATTAATTATAACAAATCAAAAAATAATAAAATATATAGCTAACAAATCACGACTAACGTGATATTTAAGTGACGTGTAGATGTGTAGTCAGGTAATTGCACTGATGAAGGCCCGGGTTAACGGACCGAAAGCTTTGCAGTATTAAATACTTAAGTGGTGGACCTACAAGCTAATTTACTTAAACCTGTAAAAACCCATCAAAAATATATTTGAAGACGTGTCCTCTCAAATTCCTAAGATTTTGAAAACCTCATTTGCTTCATTTTTAAAGTACTAGTACTCTTTTTCGATCTAAAGATGCCAATTTTACATTTATTTCTTCGGTTTTCCGTTCATTAATTATTTTTGAGCATGAGAAATTTTTATTCAGGCTCATCACCGTCGTGGTATCTTAGTCGCGTGCTGGTTAAAGATCTTCAGACGGGGGAAACATGGCCGTTGTTTTGTGAAAATTGGTTGGCAGTTGAGTCGAATGACGGCGAAGTATGTCGGGTACTTCATGTCGCTAGCGAGGAAGAGACCGTCAACTTCGGACATTTGTTTTCAACGCGTGCGATCAAAGGTCTGGCTGATGGCCATATATGGTTCTCGATTGTCTCCAGGCCTCCGACCAGCAACTTCACGCGCGTCCAACGTCTGTCGTGCGCTCTTTGCCTGCTGTGTTGCACGATGATTACGAGCGCCATGTTTTACAACATGGGAGGCCAGGGTCCGAGTCCGTTTGCTGTTCATCTCGGATCGTTGGTCATTGACTTAAAACCGTTCGTGATTGGTCTACAGAGCAGTATAATAATAGTCCCTGTAAATGTGTTGATCGTGCAAATATTTCGCAATCTTCGACCAAAGGAAGCGGGGAAATCCGAAAACAAAAACGATGCAGTTCAAAATGGTGAAGAAGAAGAAGACAAAGAAAAAGGACAGGCGTCAAAGGGAAGACTTCCTCACTGGTTCATTTATATTGCTTATGCGATTTGCTACTTGGCTTCCAGTGCTTCTATTTTCTTCACCTTGCTCTACAGCATCCAGTGGGGAAAGGAAACGTCGACGGAATGGGTAATCGCAATGGTAACATCATTTTTACAATCTGTACTTCTTCTACAACCAATCAAAGTTGTTGTTCTGGCCATTGTGTTTGCATTGATCATCCGCAAACCTACAGATACTGAAGAAGAACAAACTCCGATACCTTTGTCGGAAAATCGATCAACAGAGATCATTCCTACAAAGAAAAAGATAAACAAATTTTACAGGTGACAGATCTCTCGATTAAACAGTTTTGTTGTTGTTTTTCCCAATTTTTCGTTGCTATTATTGATTGTTTTATTGTTCACTTGCGTCGCTACATTTGCTGTATTTTATTTTAGTTTTTACCTTTGTCTCTTTCAATTGTTGTTAACATATTATTGCTCCTACTATTTTCCTTTTTTTTCGTGTTGTGTTGTTATGTTTTGTTGTCTTGCTTGGGTTGTGTTGTCTTATTTTCCGTTTTTCTTTTTTGTTGCCTTTGCTGCGTTTGTTTCTTGGTTTTAAGACCACCTGCTGTCGTTACTCGTTTCTTTTTCCTGATGTGAAATAATTCTTTTTTTACTATTTTCACTTTCAGCCCTCCAGATCCAGAGAAACTACAAAAAGCAAGAAGAAAACGTCTGAAAGAAATTAAAATGGATGCTGCTTTAACAGAAATTTTCGCTTTCTTTGTTTTTCTCATTCTGCTGATGGATGTCGCTCAATATCACAGGAATCCCAACACATTTTTGCTGACAAAGACAATGTTTGAAACATTTGAAGAAGTCGATGCTTACGGAATTGATTTATCTTCGGTCAGTTCTGCTTTTTGTTTGACCACTTACTGCTTTTATTTAACTCATCTCATCTAACTATAACTTATTCTTTCCTCTCGTTCCTTTATCTCTTCTCACTATATGTACATATCATCTATAAATTCCTTATTTTTTCTACAATGTGTACCACCCCACATCTTCTGATCCTTTCACTTTATAATAGCTCTGAAGAACTCAACCTTACTTTATTTATTTTTCTTGCAATGTCTACTACCTTCTGATTTCTTTATCCCATAGTATCCTTGAACAGCTCTCCTTCATCTCTTCTTATTACGTGACCATATCATCTCAACCTTGCTTCCCTCATCTTCTCTACAATGTCTACCACCTCACATCTTCTTCTAATCTTTTCATTTCATAATATCTCTGACTAGTTATTTTTCATTTCTTCTTATTACGTGTCCATATCATCTCAACCTTGCTTCCCTCATCTTTTCTGCAATGTCTACCACCTCACATCTTCTTCTGATCTCTTCATTTCATAATATCTGTGACCAACTCTCCTTCATCTCTTCTTATTACGTGTCCATATCATCTCATCCTTGCTTCCCTCATCTTTTCTGCAATGTCTACCACCTCACATCTTCTTCTGATCTCTTTATTCATAATATCTCTGACCAGTTCTCCTTCATGTCTTCGTATTATATTCCTATATAGCCTCAAATTTGCCTTTTCCTTCTCTTCCGTCATATCAAATCATCTTTTAAACGCTCAAAATCTCTAGTAATATTTTCTTTAACCTCTGACTTCCAGATCTCAGACGTCGATTCGCTATGGATGTGGTCACGTGAGACACTGATCCCAGGTCTTTACTCGAGTGATGGGCAAAGTAAGGATAAAAGTAAGAAAGGATGGTTGGCGAATATGGAAGTCTATCTGGTGGGAGTGCCACGCATTAGACTTTTGCGTGTTAAGAAAGGTGAGGAATCAAACTATGGAGAATAGGTATCCAGATTTATCAGACATTTTCGATAGTCAATATTATCGAACAATACATTCAGTCATTGCTAAAAGCGAAATGCATAAAAACGTACTTATTAGTTGTACGGATGAGAACAGTTGGGGAAAGACAAAGTGTTTATTTGCCTTTACACTGCAGGCCCGCGGAGCAGGGGGACCAGGACCTCCACTTTTTTCATAGACAAACAATTACTATTTTATGTATGTATCGGGTAAAGTTTTTGCGTGCGCGTTAAATTTGGTAAATTGGCAGAAATTGCATGAGTTGAAGTTGTAATTACAGCACTGCACTGTACAGAGACTGACTTGACTTCATGACCCATGTGTATTGTTTTGACTTCATGCGTCTTAAAAATCACATTGTTTATTCTAGACTCATGCACAGTACCAAATCTTCTCGAGGACATCATTCCTCATTGTTATGGCGGATATTCGATGTTGAACCAAGATGAAGGAGACTACGGGGTCGGCTGGCTTCCGTTGCCCAACACTGCTTCGAGAAAACGCCGCGATATACTGCCGGGTACACAGACAGAGCGGGAGTGGTTTGATCATTTAAACAATGGCGCAGATGAAAAGTCTCGGAAGAAGAGAGCAATTGATCCCATCCAAGGAGGGACAAGCGGTAAAAAACGTCGTAAAAAGCATCGTCTCTTGTCAAGCCAGAATCCTAAAACGTATCGAATCATGGACAAAGCTCTGTTATCTGGCGGCAGAATTCTCTCGTGTCTCGAGAGATGGCGTCATCAAACGATGTCGGAACTTCGTGGATTTCCGTACTGGGGTACGATCAGTATGTACAGCGGCGGGGGTTACGCGGCGAATCTTGGTTACGATCAAGAGACTGCTTATACAGTTGTTGCTGACTTGCATTCGAATGGTTGGTTGAATGCTCAAACACGCGCTATCTTTGTCGAATTCACCGTGTACAACGCAAACACGAACCTCTTTGGGATGTTGTCCATCTTCATCGAATTTCCACCTTCGTCTGGAGCGGTAACGAAAGTCCAATACGAATCAGCAAGATTTTACTTGCAGCTCACAGGCGGACAAACGTTAGCCCACGTTCTGGTCATATTCTTCATGATATACTTCCTCTATCGAGAAGTAAAAGTTCTTCGTAAACAGCGCTGGGCTTACTTCAAAGGTTTCTGGAATTGGATTGAAGTTATTCTCATTCTCAGCGAGTTCTTGCTGATCGTTCTCTTCTTGGCGCGTTTGTACGAGGTTGACAGAAATCTTCTTCAGCTAAGAGAGAATCCAAACGATTACGTCGGTTTCCAATATGCAGGAAACGTTGATGCTCTGATGACGTACGTCATTGGCGTCCTGGTATTCTTCTACATTTTACGTTTCCTGCGTTTGTTGAGATTCAACAAGAACTTCCTTGTGATTGGAAAGACTTTGTCTCGAATCAGCGCACCAATCTTGAACTTCTGCATCCCATTCGTATTTGGCTTCCTCGCGTTCGCCCTTTTTGCTTTCTCCGTTTTTAGCTCTGAACTTGAGGATTACAGTTCCTTCTCGAGAACACTGGTCACGCAACTAAGCATGACTTTGGGAGATTTTGATTTCGAGGCTTTGTTTATGGTCGACCCGGTCCTAGCGACACTTTATTTCTTTTCCTTTATCGGATTAAACGTGATGGTGCTCATGAACATGTTCATAGCAATCATCAACGACTCCTATGCTGAAATTCAAGAGGAAACCAGCGAAATTGAGAACGAGTTGGAGATACTGGAACACGTGAACGAGAAATATATAAAAGGTGTCTACCGACAGCTACGCCGTGTCAAAGTTTCGCCTCAAAATGGATCAAAGAAGAAACGAAAGCGTAAAACGAAGGTTGAATCTGTGGAACCCGACGAGCCATACATAGCTGAGCTTAAGTCGCGTGAAGAAAGATTGTCGGAGTTAGTTGAAACAGCAGATTTAGGACTTGAACAAGATGAGGCTATTCATATTCAATTTTGTGATGTTCCTGACGAAAAGAAGGATGTTTATTTCCGAGTTTTGTGCTTGATGGAACTCATTGATGGTGAAGTTGAATCAGATGAAGAAGAATGGGGAAGCACTAGCGATGAGAGCAACACAGAGTCTATGAACTCCGACTAGATTATTGTTGTCTTTGAATGGGTAATAAAACTATAACAGAATGAGGCAATAGGCGATCACAGAGCAAACAAAGGCAAATAAATTGCTGTCTTGAAACACGAAAGTTAACTTTTTGGAGTATACAAATAACACCAAGATGGCGTCGCCTAAAACAGATTATGACAAAGTCTTCTTTGAGAAATTAGACGGCAATATGGCTATAATAAGTAAAAACTCTAATTCTGATATTAATATAACGTTTATTAATATCTTAAACGACACTCAACTAAAGGCCCTGTTACACGGTGCAATTTTTCTTGCAACTTGCAATGCAATTCTACTTTTAAGAGATGTAAATTAGCGAAGAGTTCTCAAAATGTAGGTGTAAGAAACGCGATGGAGTACATATCTCAAAAGAAGAATTGCATTGCAAGTTATCTCTAGTTTTTAATCATATTGTTTAGTTTGTAATCTAAGTTGAAATTTTTTTCAATGATCTATTAATTTCATATGGACGAAATAAAAACCGAAACAGTTTCATTTTGGTTATTACTTTCTTACTGAGATAGAATTCCAAAGTTCGGCATCCAGAGGCAGGTCCATCGAAAACGCTCACCTTGGAACACGAGTGTTGCTAATGTGGAAACATCAGAGATATGCCATTGAATATTTTCCGAGTTATGAAATTATATAAATTTGACATCAGAAATGCTTTTTTTTCATGAAATTTGTATTAGGTTTATCAAAACTGAAATCTCGGTTGTTGCTACGGAGGTTATACCTTGAAAATCTTACTCTTCTAATTATTGTTTCACCTGCATGGATTTCCGGCTCGTTTGAAATATTAGGCCCGCCGCACATGAGAGCTATCAGCTGAGCTAACGACCTCGCGAGGCAGTTACCTCAGCCCGTGAGAAACTTGCCTCTTTAGGAGAATTCCTCACGAAAAACTATCCGCACACGAGAGTAACTTGTTGAGCTAACAGCCACGCGTGGTCTAGGTACGTGTGCGACTTTAGAGAGCTTTTGTCTAGAGTCTTTTCCCTATTGCGAGTTTGTCAGTCAATAACCACTGGTGTATGTTCTGCAAGTCGTGGTTCAGCTCTCTAAGTTCGAAAAAGTGGTGAAAGTTTCACAGCAAAAAAAAGAGTGCTTCACAACAGTGCAAGGCGTAATTTCTGGTAAATTGTTTTCTGATCTATCAACGTTTGGTGTATGGTTTTTTAACCTGTGCCTTTTGATGTATTGTTTTTTAGCGATTTGATACTTCAATCTAGGCTTCGTTGTGGTTTGTGCGACTGTCATAGCTAGAGATCGCCTCAATCGCTTCATTTTCTTAAATAAAGAGGTACATTTTTTAAAATCAAAAGAAAATTGCTGCGATTTGTGTATAGGAAAAGAAGTAAACGAGTTAAAGAGTATTTAAAGCCGCGATGGCATGGCGTCTACGCTTTCCTGTCGACGAAATGGTCGAAGTGCTGGTAACCCACGTGGAGGCAGAAACGGGCAATTTCTTCGTTCAACTCAGCGACTCGAACAGTTCAAAACTCGAGGATCTTATGGGAGATATCGCCAATTTCGTTGCCCACAACACCTCAAGTTCTTTAAGGTCGAAGATTTTGAGAGTCGGCGATATTTGCCTGGCTCAATACCACCTCGACGAGGTTTGGTATAGAGGTAAAGTTTTGGGTGTAAATAATAACAGTTATAAGGTGTTTTTCTTTGATTATGGAAACTGCGATTTAGTTGCATCCAATAACGCTATGCTAGCTACGGAGAAATTCATAACTTTGCCACCGCAAGCCTTTGAATGTGAACTTGCAGATGTTAAACCCACTGGAGGAAACTGGAATGCTGAACTGCTTGTGAAACTTGAGGAATTGATTTTGGAGCAAATCTTTGTTGCCCAGGCAGTTTCATTGAAAACCAACAACGTTCTAGTCCTGAGCCTATTCCAAGATGCAACAATGAGTAAGCTTGTGGTAGATCCATTAATTTCGGCTGGTTACCTTGAGCGCACCGAGGTTCCGCTTCCAGCCAATTCTGGTGGACCGAAGCAAAGTTACAAGTATTTGGAGCTGAATAATTTTAGCTTTGAGGATGTCCTTGTTTCCCACTGTGAGAATCCAAGTGAGTTCTATTGTATATTGATAAAGAACTCAACTGCATTGCATAGGCTGATGGAAGAATTGGAAAAGACTTACAGAGAAGCGACAGAGGACGATTACCCGTTGACATCTAGTTGCCAAAATAACCCATGCTGTGCCAAGTATTCCGACGATAACATGTGGTACCGTGCAATCATTACAAGCGAAACCCCTTCTTCCACTGGCGAAATTAATGTAAAGTTTGTCGATTATGGCAATTGCCAGACTGTCCATATTTCTAACCTTATGGGACTTGATGAAAGATTCTTGGAATTACCTATGCAAGCATTAGAGTGCACATTGTATGGAGTCAAGCCGATGGATAATAAAATCGATTGGCCTCAGGATGCTTGTGATTTGTTTGAAACACTCACCAGTGAAAAGCAACTTGTAAGCTATTTAAGCAACATTCGGGACAATGCTGGAGAAGTTTTTCTTTTCGACACATCTGAAGAGACTAAAGATATAAATTTTGGCCAAGTTTTAGTCGACCACGGCAAGGCTGTTGCAGTTAAACCATTGACAGACTACAAAAAACCGCGAACATCTCAGCGTAGGAAGTCTTCGTTCGGCATCATAGATCTTGCTCCGAGCAGTACAGAAAAGGTTGTGGTTACAAATATAGAATCCCCATCGGACTTTTACTGCCAACTTCTAAAACATTCAAATGATTTGAGCAAGCTAATGGATGATATAAGTGAGTATTATGAAGCGCTTGGCGATGTTGATGATACCATAACCTTGCCTCAAGCTGGAATGCTTTGCTGTGGCAAATATACCGAGGACGACGGTTGGTATAGAGCTTTGATTTTAAGCTCGGATATTGCAAATCGGCAAGTGGAAGTAATGTATGTGGACTACGGTAATTTTGAGATGCTTCCCATCACAAGAATCAAAGAGTTGAAACCCAAATTTGTGACGTTGCCTCAGCAAGCCATTCCCTGTTGCCTGTATGGTGTAAGCCCTTCCGCACCAAACTGGACCGACCAAGCAATTGAGGAATTTCAAAATGCAATACTAGACAAAGAACTGCAGATTAAAGTTGTCTCGCACAGCGAGGCACAGAATTATAGTGTATGTGTCATGGAGACTGTTGGTGATGAGGAATACAGCATTAACAAACAACTAGTTCAGAAAGGTAAGCATTTGTTGTTTTTTAAATCTGGTATCTATTCAAAAATTAAATTTGGTGAAGTTTCTCTGAGAGCATCAACAAAACTGATACAAGTAGAATTTTTTTCCAACAAAGCATTTTATGCTGCAATCACCGCAGACAAAGAGATTGATGAATGTATGACATGGTCCATCGCAATTATCGCTACTCTGGTTTAATAAAAGTAATCGCCACAAGGATTACATTCACGATCTATGTGTTGTGATTACTTTCATTAATTAAACCAAAGTAGCAATGGATTGCATACCTGCTTGCTGTAAACTTATTAACTTCAATTCATATGACATGGTATTGTCTGAAGTGTGGGCCAAGACATAGGGTGGAAGCTGGCTTAAATAACAATAAAGAAGGGGGGTATTTCCAGGAATTGAAATAATGCTCTGTAATTTTGCATGAGGTGTTAACAGTTAGCTGTCTGTTCCCAGGTAGCCCAGAAGTTTGTTTGTCCAGTTTCATATTTTGCAATCAGTGACATAATAAATTTACATTCATTCACAGTTAGTTGAACAAGGGGGAATTTTGTTTTAAACTAATCTGCATATTTGTTTACATTTTTTACACAAAGCCAATCAAAATGCCTTAATTTTTAAAACTTCATGTAAAAATGGTAAATAATATACCTTTTTACCGGAAGTGGTCAGATTTTTTTGCATTCTGATTGGGTAACTGAAAATGTAAACAAAGTTGCTCATTGGTCTAAAACAAAATTTCCTCTTGTTTCACTGTTGTGAATGTGTGTCACTGACTGCATTATATATGTGGAACTGGACACAACCTCTGGGCTACCTGGACCAATGACCAAGACCGTGAGCCTCGTTCTCGCGTTATGGCTTTTTTCTACACTTATTTGTCAAAATGAAAAATTCTTTTTTGTGCATGTGTTGAAGAAGGATGTTTTGCATCTTTGCACGTGGCTTGTGAGAGTAAAACTTGAAATTTATTTCATTTAAAGTGGTTCTAAATTTAAAACGTCTATGTTCTGACGTAATTACCGAAAAGGCCTATTATTGAAATATGAATTTGTGTGTTTTTTCAGGTTTTGCGATATCTGATGAAGATCATCCGGGAGTTCCAGTCGAGACAGGATTTCAAAATTACCATCCACCAGCCGTAGATATTGGTAACTATGTTGACATTGAAGTCACTCACGTTGAGAATCTCGACCAATTTTGGTGCCATCTTGTCTCCTCGGCCGATGACATGGAAAGTCTGATGGCAAATCTTCAGGAGTATTACGACGTGAATCCACCAAAGGGGACAGACTTGAATGTGTTTAACAAAGGTAACTGTTGTAATATAGCTAATACTGATATGTTTTTCCCGAGCCTTAATGCAATGCCTAAAAGCTTGGATCTATATCGCGCCTTTTTTTTCCTTTTCGTGCCTTTTTTTTTTGTTCGTGCCTTTTTTTCCTTTTCGCGCCTTTTTTTTCCTTTTCGCGCCTTTTTTTTCCTTTCCGCGCCTTTTTTCCCCTTTCGCGCCTTTTTCCTCATTTCGCGCCTTTTCCCCTCATTTCGCGCCTTATTTCCTCTTTCGCGCCTTTTCTCCTCTTTCGATTCACAAATGATTATACAAACTAAGTTGTTTTCTTGCACAAAACGTATTAGCAAAATATACATAACGATCCAGTTGCAACATTTTAGGCTGCCAAAGAAATAGAGATCATTTTCCTGTGTTTTTATGCTAGTATACAGATACTATAGGTTTTGAGTTATAGCCGTATGTTTTTCTATTTCTCCTTGTCTTATATATATTTACCGCCGTTTCTGGCGAAATATGCCGTTTTATTTTTAATGCAATTCGTTTATTGTTACCAGGGAGCCCGTGTTGTGCACGGTTTAGTGATGACAACTTGTGGTACCGTGGAAAGATTCTTGAAAAAATGCCAAACAGTCGTTTTAAAGTTCGTTTTGTTGACTACGGGAATTGCGAAATTGTTTCTGCGAAAAGGTAAGTCGATGCTTAAAAACGTCGTTTTTCAATGGTCCAGAACAATGGGAAATTGAAGTTAAGTAAAAGAATAGCAACTAATAAGGCGACTTATTGTTTTAGTAAAAATTTCGAGGTGTTTACAAATAATAATCGACATAATTTCATAAAAATTCATAATTACTTCAACTGTCTTATTTGAAAAACAACAAAAAAAAGCTATAGTCACCGGCCAGTGACTAGACGGAGACAGTATATCTTGACCAATCAAGTTATTTCAAAGGGCGTTAGGGCGTTTTTAGAAACGGGAAGGCATCGTAAAAAAAGGGTAAACGCGTTCACATCTATTTTAGTGTCGCTGTTTTGAATCCGGAATTTCTGCAGTTGCCAATCCAGGCCATCGAATGTAGCCTCGCGAACCTGCCTTCGGCTCACAAGAGAGCGAACAAATTTGTCAGTAAATTTCTCGACATGGTGAACGGCAAAGAGCTGGTTGGTCGGATGGACGAACGTGTCAATAATGGCAAATATTCGGTGTTGCTGATCGATACAGGTGGAGGTAAATCTGTTAACATCAACGAAGAGATGGTTGAGTTTAGCACCGGGAATAATGCAAAGCAAAATGCTGAGAAAGGTATGTTCTTAAGTCGAGTTTTCACTCGTATTTTTTGTTCTCACATGTTTTAATTACACGGTAAACAAACAAAAATTGTGTGTGGAGTATATCTTTGGAATCAAAGTGAAAGTACAATAAAACATTCAGGAGATAGACAAAGGATGAAATGCCTGAAGTTGTTTAAATAAATTTGGCGGCAATTTTAAATATGAATATAGCTAACTGCATAACAAGAGAGGGAAGCGAAAAGAAAACACAGTTTTAGGTTATTAACCGATATTTTCATGCAATAAAATGGTGTGTTCACGCATGGTGTTTCTTTACTTGCAAGCATTATTGTCGTACTACAAGTTAAGAATTTGCGCCGAATTTACAAGGATTTCAATTAGAATTTAACGTGACTGCCATTAGATATTCTGTGGCCTAAATAGACCTTTCCCTTTTTGCTTTGAAGCGCGAAATGCGTGACGGTAGTTGCCTTATCAAGGTCAATTTGAGTTGTGATATCGCCATGTTCAGGAGCGATTTAGTTTAACAAAGAAGCAAAAAGAAGAGGCAAGGTTTTCTTACAAACAAAATCGCTTCTAAGCAGAGCGATGTCGCAACTCAAAGTTGTTTGATAATCAACTACTGTCACGCATTGCGCGCTTGAAAGTTAAAAGGGGTTTACACGTCATTTAACATTATAGAACCTGTTGCAAAAATAGCATCGAAAGTGGATGAACCCAATATCACCATTGGTGCTGAAGAGCTCGTCTACATCACAAACGTGATCAGTTCCGAAGAATTCCACTGTCAGCTTGTTAAGACATCTTCTCAATTAGACAAACTTATGGACAACATCGAAGCATTCTACCGTGACCTCTCCCCAGGCGATTGCACGTTAGTTAACCCACAAGTTGACGATATTTGCTGCGCCATGTTCACGGTGGACGATGGTTTCTATCGGGCTGTCGTCACGAAGCTCTCACGTGATTGTGTCGAAGTCCGTTACCTGGATTACGGAAACAGCGAGGAGCTTCCACTTTCTCGAATTTGGACTTTGAATGCGAACTTCACCGAGCTACCCGCACAGTGCTTCCATGCTAAGGCGCTCTCTCCGAGCTCAGAAAATGCGGCGGATTTTGAGAAGAAAGTACTGGAGAAAGAATTGAAGGCAGAGATTGTTAGAAAAGACGAGAATGGTGCTTACGTCGTTCGTCTATTAGATTCCAACGGAAGACCTCTATTCCCCAGTGGTTCTGAGAGGTCACAACAGAAACAAGGTACTCAAGGCTCTTTAACTGGATTGATAAACCTAGGGCACTTTCACACGATTTTGTCGGATCCAATTCACTTCTGACGTATTTAATATTAAACTGATTATTGACTGAGCGTGAGGTCGTACTGTGAAATATCAAACCGTGCCTTTTTGGTGTGTCCATGTAAAAAACTTTGGTCTGATATTTCACAATACGGTTTATTATATGGCTGAGCTGCATCAGACATCCAGGATTCTGGTCCATATACGGAACATATGGACCACTCGTCAGCCAATCAGATCAGAGGATTTTGAAAAGCCAAATAGTAAAGTCTGTTATTGATAAAGCAGCACTGCATTGTTATTGATAAAGCAATGCGAGTCATCTTCAGAAGTGAATTGGATTTGGGTCGTGTGGTGAACAGTTTTTATTTTAACACAACATGTTTCTCTCTTTCTCCAGCGTCGTCTAAACGTACACCCTGTACGGTAAAGGACGCAAGTGTTTCAATCGACGAGACGATGCGTGTGTACATAACTTCTGTAACAAGTCCCGACGATTTCTTCTGCCAGCTTACTAAAACGACCGCTCAACTTGACGACTTGATGAACGAGATTGAAGAGCATTATCGACCGCTTGGAGATCAACAGGAGTCCTTAAAAGACCCAGAGGTAAAAACGAATGCTTTATGTATAGAAGACTTTGCAAGTCACAATAGAGAGGTCGTTTTGTATTCAAATCGTATATGCTTTGTCACCTACAAAAAATCGATCTTCTATTCTTCTAACTAGCATTTCCTTGTTATTCCCAGGAATGTACATCCCTAGGTATTGACTACATGCGCATGAATTTGCTATTCAGAGTTTAGATTTGAAAATACCGCAACTGTCTGCTTGTGGTCATTAATAGTGCATCCTTTTTGCCAATTCCTCGTCCGCCTATAGCTAAATTGGTACTTCATAAATTGAAAATTCTGCCTTTAAAAACATGAGAGATACCCGGATATGGACTAACACGTGATACCCGTGATATGGACTTTACCGACCTAACATTTGTAGATGTAGATGTAGATAAAATGAACATCTACTGTGGTATAGTGACAGTGTATGAAGGTTACGTACAGTCCCATGTTGTCAGGGGCCAGTTTATTGTACATCCAACATCACTGTGTAGTTTCTTCTGTTCTCAAAAGCTTTGAAAATCCTACAGCTTATTCCTCCATCATAGATTGGCGAGGCATGTTGTGCCATGTTTACTTTGGATGATGGTTGGTATCGCGCGAGGGTGAACAAGCGTTCTGGTACCACATTTGATGTTTGTTACATCGATTATGGCAACTCAGAAACTATTCCCCAAATCAGAGTGAAGACTTTACACGAGAACTTTACGAGGTTGCCTGTCCAAGGTTTTCACGCCTGTGTTAAAACTGCGAATGCTGTGGATAGCTCGTCGTTTAAGGATAGTGTTTTGGAGAAAGAATTCGACGCAAGGATTGTAGCGCAGAATAAGGGCAGCGTGTTTGAAGTCGAGCTTTTCAACGCTGACGGGATGAAGTTGTTTGGAACTGCGAATGATAGGAAAAAAAGTAAGTAAAGCATTAGTTTTTCAACACCTTCGGCGGTGCGTTCGAGGAAGATTACAGCGTTGTGATTGGTTCCTGAGTAGTTTCCTGCTACTCAGTTTTGGCGGGAAATTTTTATATCTTTTCAGAGTAAATAAAAAACATATTCAATTTACTTTTCCGCCTTTCTCGGTAAACAACAAAATGGAAAAACCATTTTTAACGGGATTTCTTGAATATTTTCAAGATAATTAGCCTTAATTTCATTGAAAGTGCTTCAATGAAAGCAGTTTCCGCCATTATAAATTAAATTGAGTTTCGATTTTGCCTGGCTTTCAAGCAGGTAAACAATAGTGAATTGCTTGCTGGTTTCTGCGTTCGGGGGGAAAATGGCTAATCTTTTTTGACAAGTCACTTTCGTCAATGAGAAGTTGTGTAGAAGTAAATTTAAAGTCTTTATTTCCTGTGTTAAGTGGGTAATTGTTGACTGAGGAAATATTCTATTACATCAGTCACCTTGTTGACTGTAAGCGGCAGTATTTGACTTTGACAAACTCAGAAAATGTCTAAGCTCTTTCTAATGGATTACATTTGAATTATTTTTTCTTTTAGCCGAAGTATACAAAGTCGAGGAAGCCCAGGTAACGAAGGGTGCGAAAGAACACGTTTATGTGACGTTCTTTGAAAGTCCCGAAAGCTTTTTCTGTCAGCTCACGAAGACCTCGAAACACCTGGATGAGCTTATGGACAGACTTGAAGAATTCTACCGCCCCCTGGGCAATGGCGATGAACGACTGGTAAAGCCAAAGATTGGCGATACTTGCTGTGCAATGTTCACCGAAGATGACGGATGGTATCGTGCCGTCATTACTAAGGTAATGCAATAGGAATTTATCTGGAGACCTTTGAAGTAGAAATTGTAACCATTCTTGCGTCAATTCATGTCTTAAGAGGGCTTTCAGTTTTGTCTGGGGATCTCTATAAAATCTGGAACGATTATAACTGACTTTTTTGGCGGCCATCTTTGAATCCCATTTTAAAGCTGAATCAAGAACCAGCGCCAACCTCTTTCTATTGTTTTTGTCACGTGCTCCATAACCGTGAAGAAAAATACTGTAGAAAAGGACTGGCACTAGTCCTCCGATTTGGTTTCAAAGATGGCAACAAAGTTATCATCCAGTTCATATATATAGTTCAGTGCTGACGATCAAACGAGTGTCCATTTTCTTATCAGGTTTCTGTCAATACAGTAGAAGTTAATTATATCGATTATGGCAACAGTGAGGAACTTCCGGTGTCCAGAATAAAAAGGTTACTCGCGTGTTATTGTGAAACGAGCGTCCAGGGCTTTTCAGCTAGTCTGGTTGGATCTACTTCGGCGGGAGTGGAAAAGATAAGGGAAGCGATCGATGGCAAGGAATTAATGGTTCGTGTGACAGGTCGAAAGGGTAACGGTGTTTTCGATGTCGAGGTCTATGATATGAATGGTAGAAGACTGTTTAGTTCTGCCCAGGACTCTGGGAAACCAGCAGAAGTGCGGTCAATAAATGGTAGGTATGGGCCGTTTTCAAAAGCCTGAATAAAGTCTGCTAATTCACCATAGAGAAAAATATATCACCAAGTCGTCGAAAATATTTTTTGCAATTTTGAATGGGTTTTAACAGCGATGAAAAAGCAGTGAAAAAGCAAGAAGTTCCAGCTGCCTCATGACGAATTTTTGTATCTGCAAGGTAGCATTTTCTGTTGAAAATATGGCAGTCGGAGAACAAAATTCTTTAAATGAAAGCCAGTTTTCAGTAAATTTATATCACATAATAAGTATTTCAAGATTGTTTTCTAACCGATTGGAATTAGATAAAAAGTTCGACATGTGATATCTTTTTATCCCGGCACTTTATATTTTACTGTATGTAGTTAAATAGAACTTCGCACTATTTTTTTAAGGTGATCCACTACCGCGCAATTGTTTTCCCCAACTTTCCCTACGATAATACTAAATTAACCTGACTTTTTGCTCTTTTTTCGGACAGATTTCTTGAGTTCGTACAATATTCTATCAGGATCACAGATGGACGTCTGTGGATCTCACTGCGAGAGTCCAAATATGTTCTACCTTCATCTGGTGAAGAATAAAGGAAGTCTGGAGAAGGTTATGACAGATCTGAGTGAAGTGTATTCTAACCTCAAACCAACGGATAACGCAGTTGTCAATCCTGTTGTCCACATGTTTGTTGCTGCCAAATACCCAGGTGAGACGATTCCCCTAGAATCCTGGTCACAGCATAAATTATAATCGATTCAGGCAAAAGAAATTCAATTCAGCACAACTGCAAAAAGAGCGTGTTAGATTATAATAATTTATAAAGGCCCGTTTACACTTTTTTCTGCGATTTCATGTGCATTTTTCTCCTTTTGATTGATGTGAACGAGTGGATTAGTTAGGGACGTTCATATAAGAGCTCTTATTCATCAGAGCATTCGTAACTAGTCACTCGTTCACATCTACCAAAAGAAGAAAATCGCACCTGATGAAGATTTTATAATCGCACCTAATGAAGATTAAAATTTCCTAATGGAAGTATTTGTTTGTTTTAGTGGATGGTGGATGGTACAGGGCGCGTATTCTCAGTATTCCTTCTCCAAACGAAGTGGAAGTTTGTTATGTTGATTTCGGAAATTGCGAGCGTGTTGGTTTACATGACATCAAAACGCTTGCTCCCGCGTTCCATGACACGCCCGTGCAAGCGGTCAAATGCCGTCTGCATGACGGGAAGGAAAAGTGGAATGGTAACGAGTGCGATACATTCGAGATCTTGGTTCTTGAGAAGCACCTCATTGCAGATGTGAAGTCCATCGGTAAGATATCAAACTTTTGATCTTTGATTTGAACATTGAATGTTGTGAGTTACGATTCATAATGAATGCATGTGACTCAAGTTATTGAGTTCCGAAATACCACATATTTGAACAGTCTTGACCTAGTAGCTCAGTTGGAAGAGCATTGGACTAGCAAACCAAAGGTCGCTAGTTCGATTCCCTCCGTGGTCAAGCTAATTTTGCACGCTTGGTAACTTGGTACCTCTTCTGAAAACCATTACAATCGTCATTGACAGGATGCAATGTTCTGTTCTAATAATACTACGGAAGTAAAAAGTTTGTCTGCTCATGGCTTCAAACGTAGACTAATTCTTACATTTTCAAAAGAATTTTCCCTTGAATACACCTCACTAGAAATTACACTGTAGGCAATGGCGAAGTTTGGTCGCAAAATCTCGTGAAATACGGGAAATGAATTTCTGTTTACGTACACGTGAAATTTTGTCTTCGAATTTCCATAAAACCCCTTAAAAAAGCCCTTTAATATTGCTCAAGTTTCAACTTTCTTTGAAAGAACGAACGCTGTATCCGGTTTTACACCACAGGAAAACTTGTGGTTACAAGATCGTTTTTTAATATCCCTCGTTTCATTTAAGATACGAACACCCAAACTTTGACGGTCTCCCTGTTCGATACCCATGGCTCTGAAAATGTAAACATCCTCAAAGCTATCAGCGCTAAATCCTCAAGAAGTCAGGAAAAACTACCCAAGCTCACAAGCCTTCCCAAACTCCAACTCAAAGACGTTGAAAATGTCCTGGTCGAGAGTGCGGAATCTCTGGATAGTTTTATCTGCCAATTTACAAGACTTAACCTCGACCTTGACACAGTGGCGGACATGATGTACGAAACTTACCATGAGGGGACCCCACCGGACTTTGTCGCTACTCCATTACAAGTCAATGACGTGATCGCCGCCATGTTTAACGAAGACGAAACATGGTACCGGGCATCTGTCTCGGGGCTAAACCCCGATGGTGGCGTGCACATGACTTACATTGACTACGGAAATTCAGAGACGATTCCCCGAGCGGAGATTGGGAAACGCGTACGGTATCTTGAAAAGGAACTTCTTCGTTATCCGCCCATGCGCGGTGTGATGTGTTCGTTGTCACGTGTCAGCACTGAGGGGAAACGGTATTCGTGGACCCCACGCGCGCACGACGCGTTCGTTCGCTATGTTGTCGAGAAGGAATTTCGAGCAAGGCTGAGCTCCGATAGGGAACCGTACCAAGCCCTCCTCGAAGACAAATTAGGAAGCATACACACGTGGCTGGCACGTGAAAAACTCGTGACAAGCAAGGACTCTGAACCGGAGGTGGTGCAAGATGATTTCTATGAACTTAAGGTGGCTGTGGGGACATCATGTGATGTTTACGTAACACATTCGAGAAATCCCGAGGATTTCTACGTTCAACAGGCTGCGAATGCAGACGCCATTGACAAAGGTTTGTCCATCATGTTGACTGCCACGAATTCATAATATTTCTATAAATTAATGTCCTTATTTTTTGGCAGTGGGAGTTACAGGTTGTAGTACAGGTTGTATTCGACCATGGTCGAGTCCGCCGGAAAACGGTGTATTCGACCATGGCTGAGTCTACCCGAAAACGGCGTATTCGACGTATTCGACCATGGTCGAATGTACTGGAAAACGGCGTATTCAACTATGGTCGAGTGTACCGGAAAACGGCGTATTCTACCATGGTCGAAACAAATTTGCTGATTGGTCTAAAACGAAATTTCTCCTTGCTTTTCGTAGACATTACTGCATGTCTTAATAAAGTCTGTTCACACGATCCAATTTTGTCGGATCGAATTCCTTTCTGACGTATGGAATGTAGTCTGCTAGTGATAAAGCAGTACTGCATTGGCGGCTTGATTTGCCGCTCATATACATTATTTCAAGTCAACAGCGTAAAAAACATCCATCAGAATGAATTGGATCCGAAGAAATGACATCGTTTGAACAGACTTCTACCTTGTACATATATTCCCAAACATGTAACCATTGTATTGCTAGTTATGGACGACATACATACAAGCTGTACCGACGGATCCCGAGGAGCAATAGTGGATATCAAGCAAGGCACCCTTTGTGCTGCTCAGTATACTGCCGACGATGCCTGGTACCGCGCCAGAGTTACGCAGAAGCCTGGACCTGACTCCGTAGAAGTACTTTTCGTCGATTACGGAAACACGGAGGTTTTACCGAAAGAAAGGTAACGAAGAAAGTGGGTTTTATTTCCTCACAAAGACCTCATAAATATCTCATTTGAACTTGATCTTTTCCACAATAATAAATGCTCCATCCAGGTTCCAAAACGTTCCATTTCGGTCAGTGGGTGATTGAATAAGAATATTACAGAATGACAAATTTGTTCCTTTTGTTTAGGATAAAAGAGCTCGATCCCAGTCTCCTTGAGCTGCCCGCGCAGGCCATATGCTGTGGCTTGCAGATACACCACCAACAAAGAGCCTGGGATTCAGAAACGAAGGAACGATTTGAGACAGCCACCGCTGACAAGTGCTTGAAGATGACCGTGTTGAAAGACCTGGATGTTAAATTGCTGGTGACAATGACGGATGAGGAGGGATCACTATCATTGAATGACATGTTTAGTCAAAAACCATCTGAACTATCTGAGGACTCTGCCGAGGTATTTATACCGCCCAGGCTTGCAATTTTGGGAGTTTATGTTGGCACATCAGGTTGAATTCAGTTGTTTTTAATGTTTAACTATGAAAATTTTTTTGATCTTTTGAAAAATGCTTGATTACTAGGGGTTAATTCAGTTTAGAAGTCCTGTAGCCTCATAAAAGCAGCCTCAACTTTTCACTTGTTTGGTAAGCTACAGCACGATTTGAGATTTATCGCAATTCTCTCGTTTTCACAGCCAGCCGAGATATCCCTAACGGCGTATCCTGTGACAGGAAAACAAACCGCAGAGGTTTACATCAGTCACTTGGTCAACCCCGGTGAATTCTATGTGCAGCTTTCTGGTACTGAGGAAGAGCTAGAACGCTTGGCTGAACTTTGTGCCCAGACTTACGACGGCCCAGAAAGTGACAGTTATAAACTGCCTAATCCACAAAAGGTATGTAGAAACACGTATTCTTTTCCGCTCATCACAAAAACAAATTCTCGCAGCAATATACTTGCAAAAGCCTCACGAAGCGTGAAAAGATTTTAAGCCCAAAACTCTGAAAAACTGCAGCCTCTAGCTTCAATGTCATTTGCCAGTTGTATTAGAGTCCACTGGTATGTACTTTTCTTTGCAATTCATTTCGAAAAGAGCCTATTAAAACAAGCTTTTCTATTAGTTGATTATAGCCACAAAATACAATGAACTATACAAACTGATTTTCAAAAGAATGAGACAAACACAGTTCACTATTGTTACAAAAATCCAATCACAAAACTCAATCATATTAGGTAGATCCTTACTTAAGTTATCAACGCCATTTTAGTGATCACGTGAAATACTTTTCTTAGGATATGTTCTGTTGTGCGCGTTATTCTGAAGACGAGGCCTGGTATCGAGCCCAGATCCTCTCCGTCGACCCCACCAATCACACAGCGACCGTTCGTTTCGTGGACCATGGCAACACTGACGTGGCGAATCTCGCATCAGATCTTCGTCGACTTTCAGCCGAACTTTCAACATCGCCTTGTCATGCTATACCCTGCACCCTCGCGCGTGGCTCGTGGACGCCCGAACAGTGCTCCAGTTTCGAAGCTGCCGCATTGGATAAACCACTTCAAGCAACCTTTGAAGCGTACCTCGAGAACACTTGGATATTAACGCTTAAAGACGGGACTACCTCGTTGAATCAGCTACTCAAACCTTCCGCGGTTACCCCGTCTGTGCAAAAACCACGTTTGGCCGTTGGGGACGAGCCCGCTGTGTACATTGTCAGCGTGCATTCACCAGATGACGTCATCCTTCAGTTAAGTGGTCACGTGAGTGACTTGGAGGCATTAATGGATGATATAGCCACTAACCCACCTCAGGACACGTTGCCGATCTCGCAAGTGGAAACTGGAGCGTCTTGTCTCGCTTTGTTTACTGAAGATGAGGCCTGGTATCGAGCAAAGGTAAGAGTGTTACTTATATATAGATCAGAGGCCAGTTGTTCAAATGCCGTCAATGATATTTAAAATATAATTGAATATAAATATAATACAATTCAAATCCCCGTCAATGATATTTAAAATATAATTCAGATATACGTTGATGATATTTAAAATTTAATTCAGATCTACATTAATGTTATTTGAAATATACTTCAAATCTACGTTAATTATATTTGAAATATAATCAGATCTACGTTAATGATATTTGAAATATAATTCAGATATTAAATATAAATTTTTAGGTACTGGATTGCGATGGTGACCTGGTCAGGGTCCTTTACGTGGATTATGGTAATGCGGAATGGTTAGATGCCGACAGGCTTGCTCCAATATCTGAACGATTCTCAAATCTACCCGAAGTCAGTGTCCGTTGCTGTTTCGACCTCTCAAACGGTGGGGAAATCTGGACGGATGACGTTGGCGAGAAACTGCTTGAAATTTACGGAGAACACGAACTTCGTTGTAAGATTACGTCCGAAAATGACGAGGTTTTTTCAGTAAGGCTGTTCTGTGATGGGGAAGATGTCTTGGCCAAAGTTTTAACATCTGGCGAGGTTGCATCGGCTTCGGATAGTGGAATTACCGCAGAAGTGGCGCTCTCTGATCGTTATCAGGTCAAAGAACTAACAGCAGGTAAAATAGCCGTTGTGAAAATGACCGGAAAATTTAGGGGGACGAATCAAAGGTCTCAATGAAACGACTCACGGATGCACGAATAGCCGATTAATTGTTGGCTAGTAGACTAATTAAACAAGTTTTTAATACTAAGCGCGCAAAGCAGGCTGGTCGAGTTAAGGGCACTAAAGAATGTGAGACCGTTAGCAATGACTCTCTGATACTCCTACGGTGTTTGAAAGTTCACTCCTCCCCTTCTTTTGATAGATGTGAACGAGTGAATTAGTTACGGATGTCCAAATACGAGCTCTTATACATCAGAGCATTCGTAACTAGTCACTCGTTCACATCTACCAAAAGAAGAAAATCACTCCAAAAATTACAAGTGTAAACGAGTCTTAACTAGCCTTCCCTTCCTCGCATTTTCCAACAGTAAGTCGATATAGCGTTTATTGTATTTCTGTGGTTGACCTCAGGTGAACGGAAGGATGTCATATGTTCACATATTGAATCGCCTCAGAAACTTTGGTGCCAGCTCTCAGAAGATCAGGGCATTTTGGATGATCTTATGGATCATTTACATGAAGTATACAGTGCACTTAGCGCCGAGGAACTGCTGGTCACGAGTTACGACGTCAATTCAGTGTGTTGCGGTCAGTTTCTTGATGACGACGGATGGTATCGAGCGGAAATACTTGGCAAGCAGGATGAAGGTACACCATATGTTGCTCAGTCATTTTGTACCACTGATCTGCTAGTAAACTGGATCAACTATAATTTACTATACCCATCCAAAATGATGCTAGAATTAATGTATTACGCGGAAGTAATTTTCTCTGTTCTGTGTTCATGAAGTTCATCCAGTGTTTTATCAGATCAGTGTTTATTTGTCAATGCATGGCAAACTAACGGACTATAACCAGTGAACTATAATAAAACCTGGAACGCTAGCTCTTATAGTTAAGGGGTCGGTTGTATCAAGCCCGTTTAGCTTAAACGGTGGTTAAGTTCAAAATAGAAAGCCAGTTTATCGTTTTATTCAACAAGCAAACTAAATGTTTTTAACCTTAATACAAAGATGCTGTTTACAAATACATATTCAGTGCTAAATATTCAAGTTGACTCATTCAAGACAGATGTAAGAATGTTATTTCTTGATCAATTTATATAAAAATTAGCAACAACTCTGGGTTTTCTTTTGAGATCAGTGGCACAGCGTTCTAGTGTAGTTTAAACTTGACATTGATAACCATGATATGGTTCATATTAAGGTGTCATGGTGCGTTACGTTGATTACGGTAACGAGGAACTATTACCTACTGCAAGATTACGAAGTTTAAAGCCAGAGTTTTTGGCAACACCACGCCAAGCCATCGCGTGTTTGTTGGCCGACATCCAGCCCAGTGACGATGACTGGAGTTCTGATGCCATTACCGTTGTCGAAGAGTTTACCTCAGAAAAGTTTGTAGTTTGTTTTTATTCAATACGCAATTCCCGTCAAAGAGTAATTTTTTAACTGGGCAAATAAAAATATTTTCCAAATTTTCTTAAGGTCTGAGCTCACCCGTTCCAATTTTGTTAAATCCAGTTCACTTCTGACGGATGTTTATAGCCTTGCATGTTGATCTAATGTTATTTATTTTCACTTACTCAATATACAATCATTTGTGTTGTGTTGTATGCGAATATATGTGCAAAGCTTGATCTGCACTCTTTCACATCCGTCAGCTTGATGTCTTCGTGTGACACTGACATCACAGACTAAAGGAAAATCGAGTTTAATTTCGGCGCTATTATCATTGCTTTAACCGTCATTTCATTTTTATCAGGTCCCTTACGATCGAAATAAAAAGTGTGGATGATCTTGCTGCCACAGCTATCGTTTACGGCCGTTCAGAAGACGAGGAAATATCTTTAAGCGATCTTCTTGTCGAGAAATCCTTCGCAACTCGGTCTGTGGAATCTTCAAACGAAGCTCCAGGTAGTTTGGTAGCTGAAGTATCCTATTCGAACTTCCCAGCGAAGATTGGCGACAAGTTGAATCTATTTTACGTGTCTGCCGAATCACCAGCGAGTATTTGGTGTCAACTGTCCGACTCTGAAAACGATCTGCTTGATCTCATGGAGAAGCTTGGAGCGTTTTATGGAAACCTGAATGAAGGAGACTGGGCGCTAGTAGAACCGGTCGTTGGAGCGGCCGTTTGTGCTCAGTTCACCGAGGATGATTCGTGGTATCGCGCTGTGATATTGGAGACTGAACCGAGCATAGCCGTTCAGTTTGTTGATTACGGAAACTCTGAGAAGTTGACTCAATCCAGAATTCGAATTTTGAAGCCTGAATTTGCACCTTTGCCTAAACAAGCTATCCACTTAGAACTTTCCGGTGTCTCACCCGAGTCTCTCGAAGAATGGTCGGAGGAAAAGCGGGATGCGATGGAAGAATTATGTTCCGAGAAATGTTATGTCGGTGAAATTCTCGGAATCTCCGATAGCGCCATGGAAATTTCCTTACGAGAAATTGAGTCGCAGAAACTGTTGTTGGATGAGTTGTGCCAGGCGGAGCTTGTGGCGAGGAAAGGTAAAGACGGTGTTGAACAGGAAGACACGAAAGTAAGCGAGGCTTTAGTCCAGCCAGATGTCGAACCACCCGCTGTTGAAGACCAGGCAGTTAGCGACCATACAGGAAATGAACTACCAGTAGATGACCAAGTAGGCCCCCCAGTGAGTGACCAGCTAGTGGACGAAAAATCAGTAGATGAAGTACCAGTAGATGACCAGCCAATGGATGAAGTACCAGTAGATGACCAGCCAGTGGATGAAGTACCAGTAGATGACCAGCCAGTGGATGAAGTACCAGTAGATGACCAGCCAGTGGATGAAGTACCAGTAGATGACCAGCCAATGGATGAAGTACCAGTAAATGACCAGCCAGTGGATGAAGTACCAGTAGATGACCAGCCAGTGGATGAAGTACCAGTGGATGACCAGTCAGTGGATGAAGTACCAGTAGATGACCAGCCAATGGATGAAATACCAGAAGATGACCAGTCAGTGGATGAAGTACCAGTAGATCACCAGCCAGTGGAAAATGTACCAGTAAATGACCAGCCAGTGGATGAAGCAGCAGTAGAAGTAAAAGATCACTTAATAAATGACCAACCAGTCGACGACCAGCTAGATCTTGAATCACCAGATGTTGAGGACCAACCAGTGGACGACCAGCCAGTGGACCAGCAAGAAGTCGGTACACCAGCTTTGGAAGAGAAACCAGCCTATGATCAACTGACTTTGGACGAACCAGTTCCGGACGAGCGGCCTCCGATCAAAGAACAAGCGGACGATGTCCTACTCGCCCAAAATAGTCGCAGCGACGAAGCCGAAGACGTGACAAGAGGAGCTTCTCCAGGCGACAGCGAGGAAGATTTGAACGATGCGACGGCCGTGTGTCATGCTATCGACCGCTTGCTTGACGAGATTGACTCTCGCTCTGGAGAAGTAAACACAGACGATGGAAAACCAGCTGAAGAAGAACTCAATGAAGAGGCGCCCGCGATCACACCTGGGGAAGAGAAAACACCTCACCAGGATGAGGTATATTATATTTTAATACTTCGATCTTTTTACTCTACCCTAATTTATCCTACTATACACTACTCCAATTTTTATACTTCATTCCCTTTCCTATTTTCTATACTAGACAACCATAATCTCTCTTGCTTCCTATTCCCATCCTTTTTCATTCCGTTTTAGTTTACTTTATTCAACCTCTTCCATCAATCTCACCCCAATCTATCTATCTCTCTTTACTCCTGCCCACTGTAACCTACCCTGCCTTATACCTCACTGCCCTCCTTAATCTGCATTCTAACCACTCTCTCTTCTTGTATTCAATTCTTCTTATCCTTTTCAGTCTACAACTGATGTCGAAGTACATTCGGAAAAAGAACCAATTGCTGACGAGGAGAAAGTCTCTGAGGACATTCCCGAGGTCACGGTGGACGAGACAACCCCTTCGGAAATTACTGCACCAAACATCGAGCTTCAAAAAAACCAACTTTGTCTTGAAAGCGACTCCGCCACGGGCAGTAGTAGTACGACTCCGTCTTTCCTAAGCCCCAGGACTGAACTCACGGACGAGTCTCCCAGTGATGAGACAAACTCGTATATGACCCCGCCTGATGAACTCGTCTCGGAAACAGTCGGCGAAGATCAAGCCTTGTTTTCGTCTCCCGAGTCAGACACGAGCGACCGCCAACGTTACGCTTATCCCGAGATTAATCTCGGAGATATACACAAGGTAATATGATTGATTTCCTACAAGGAATGTTGCGATGATTTCCCGCCTTTTTTATCGCCATTCAAATACAGGCTTATCCATAATTATCCGGATTTCAGATATCCGGACTTCTTCAGATTATATCGCTTCGCGTCGCGCGAATAAATTCGCCTAGAGGAAAACGAGCTTAAAATAGACAAATCATTTCTCGACAGGAGTGTTAGGGCTGTTTTCCACGCGCGGGAAACTTTAAATGTTTCCAAATTTGTGTTATTTAACGAATGGGTCAACAAATGCATACTAAAATATGCAGAAAACAATGTTCTTTCGATTTATTCACCTCGCTTTTTCAAATATGAAATATATAAGGATTTAGACGTGCGTGTACGTGCGTATGAAAAACGCGACAGTGAAAAACAACCTTTATTGTGGTTCACTCTTAATAAGATTTTTAAGATTTTGATCCTAAATAGTCCTTAAATACACCTGGAATTTAACTTTAATGGTCATCACAAACCCTGTTTTATCCCAATATGTTCTCTTAGGTTACTATATCACACATTCAATCCCCGTCAAGTTTTTTCTGCCAATTGTCGAGAATGGAAATCGAGCTTTCGCACCTCATGGAGACGATCCAAACGACTTTCACTGAAGATATCCAAGAAACACTTTCCATCGATGCCTCTAATGTGGGTGCCTTGTGCTGCGCCCAGTCCCCCGACGATGGCAAATGGTATCGTGCTGTCGTCAGAAACATCGGAGATGATGATCACGTCGATGTCACGCTTGTCGACTTCGGGAAAAACGTCAATCTGCCGGCGGGCGGACTAAAATCTATCAGTCATGAGTTTGTCACCAGTCTTCCACGCCAGGCTATTCATTGCTCCTTAGTGGACCTTGAGCCCGCGGACGAGAAGTGGTCAGCGGATGCGGTGACAAAAATGACCGAAGTGTGTGCTGGGAAAATGCTGGAAGGAATCTTCCGATCACGTCATCGTAAGGTATACAATATTTATCTTCGTGACCCCGAAGACGATGACGCGGACTTCGTAAATAAACTTCTGGTGGATTTGAAATTGGCAAGGGTTACTGGAAGGGGTTCTGACTCCGGGGAGGTAAGAATTTCCGGTAGCAACCTATACCGATAGGGGCCTGAACACTCTGAACGTTGTGCAAGAGAAGGCGATATTGGGCATTTCTTATCAATGATTTGAAACAATTTTTAAAATGTTTTACAGGGTGCGGATTCAAGTGAAAGTAATGGCGTAAATGAAGGTATAGTCTACTATTTCATTTTGCATTGTAGAAGATTTTTTCTTACCATAGCCCATAGATTCAAAATGCTTTTGATTCCCGCAAAACGTCATAGACTCATAGGAGTCTCGGTGGAAACGTAATGCACTGACGAGTGATATATTCGTGAACTCAGTCGGTCTGCGCAGTTTCCTAAAGTAATTTGGTGATTTTCTGAGGGCTGTGATAAAGGCCTTAACAGTCCTTCGTTCCATCACCAACAACAGCACCTTATAGCAGATGCAACTCTTCTCATAACTTTCCAGCCATATTTATAGAGATTTCTTTTAAAGGTATAAATAATTTTTCAAAGTAAATATCCCAAACTCACTTGCTTTAACTTTCCAAACTTTTAGAGTCGGTTCCGGATGAGAAGAACGATGAAAAAGAATCAAGCGGTTCACAAAATGACGATCACCAGGTGAACAAATAGCTAAGGCTCTAACGTCATTGGAAATGCATAATGCATGTTTACGTATGGATATATTGGTATATGTTACATTAGGCAATATAATTTCGACATCTTCCTATACAAGGAAACTTAGGGGAATTGTGTATTCCGCATAAAATTGAGGTCGAAAGTGTTGTTGATATTTTCTTCATCATCAAACCTGCTCTGAATAAAAATGCAGGATATAAGAGATGAATGCAAGTAGTATATGTTAGTCCAAATGATCTATTTAACTATTTATATAGAATAACATATAACCATATTTTTCTCGAATTGTGAAAAACTAGCTATTCCATTGGGCAAGACCTGGATGGTAAGGTTGTCTGAAGACTTTTGCAAATTTTCCTGTGCCAAAGCCCAATCCAACCGCTAGTTTTCCATACAATACTGCATGTAATCGTGTTCTAATTTGCAGTGAAGTCAAAACACAATTTTCTGTCGTAATAACTGGTTTATATTTTACTGCATGTTTCAAACCAGCTAAGATATTCATTGAAAATATAGCATGGACTTTAAAAATAATGAGCAAAGTATTAGGTAAATAAGGTGTATTTTTATATAGATATTTTTGTAGCTTGACAATTCCCATGTGTTGCAGCAAAGATCTTTCAACGATTCTTTGTCGCAACGTAGGGTAAAATTTATGTATAGAATTTGAAGGATTAGACAATATATGTATTTTTTTATTTTTTGTTTTACTAATTTTTTTCTCGTATTTTTTACTAACATTTAACACTGGTTTATCCATCTTCGTGTTCAGGGTTTTAACTAACACATTTATACTAATAAACGTTGTTTTGGTAAGTTTTGTAAATATATAAATATATTTTTTTGATGCCAGAAAGTCAGCGTCGTCAGATTTGCATAGAAGTGATTTGAACGTAGAACGTAGTGTAGTTCTTGTGTACTTGTACAACATGTGCGTTAGACAAAGATTTTAAACATTTTATAAGTTTTTTTCTTTGATAATAAAATTAGCAGTAGTGGTCATTAATAGCGTTAGTTGGGTAATGTTTGATGTATTTAGCCAGTTATTTTTGTTAGATTAGGAAAGAACATTTCTATTCAAGCAGTGTTTTTCTTTCAGAAAATAATTCAAAGAAGAATTGGGTTTAAATGCATGCTTTGTCCCTAAATTTCTTATCTAGTCAGTGGTGATAAATCACTTAGTTATAGTAATACAGTTTCAATTAGAATAGGTATTAGAATAGATTTTTAGTTCTTGAGAAATTAGTTTAGGAGTAGATATAACAATTAGATTTATTTAGACTTAAATATAATTATTTCTTTCTTTAACATTTTTAAAATCTCTTTATTAGTCTGAAACCAGCAGAATGGAGATTAGCAAAAGTGTGGAAGAGTTTCTAGAAAACTTGATAGAAGTCGCCATCGACCAAGCCGTCAAATCGGCAATGGAACTATCGGAGGACACAGAAGATGTTTCTGAAGGGCATAGCGAAATTGAAAATGTGGGCCGTAGTGAAATACAAGGTGAAGATGCTCCTGCTTCGAGAACAGCCGATGAAACCCATGACAAAAACAGCGTTCTGTTAAACACGGAAGAAATTTCTACGGAGGAATCTACGACCGTGGTTGAAGCTGAAATTGAAGCTGAAATTGAAGCTGAAATTGAAGCTGAAATTGAAGCTGAAATTGAAGCTGAAATTGAAAAGATTGCTATGGTGGAAGAGAATGAGACACAAAGTGGTTTGCAAAGAGAATTTCAGGAATGTTTTTCGGAGGAGGTGGAAGATACGATTGGAGTTCACTGTGAGGAGTTCGGTGAGACGAAAGAGAGTCCTGGCTTTAGTAAACAGCGTGATAATTCAGGCTTTGATACATCAAGTGAAGGAGCTTCGGCTGCCATCTTTGATGGTGATGCAGATAAAGGTATAGAAAACGAAGGCGAAGAACAAGAGAGCGCACAGATGATGTTGGAAGAGGAGGTTGGTAAGCCCGAAGCATCAAATGAAACCTGTCCCGAAAATCATCAAGTTCCGAGTGAGCAGCATGATGTTAGAGGCGTTGATGATTCAAGCGATGCAGCTGCCATGGTGCTTATGGAAATCCCAGGCGAAGATGAAGAAAGCACAACGACGATGTTGGAAGAACTGGACGAGATGGCTGTTGCAACACATGAAACTTCTGCAACACATGAAACTTCTGCAGAAGATACGCTGGATCCTAGCGGACTGCGTGATGATAGAGGGAGTGATCTTTCAAGTGATGAAGCAACCGTAATCTCGTATCGTCAGGGTGAAGAAGCCTCGTACAAGGATGAGAAATGTGGAATGATTATATTAGACGAGCAGCCTGAAGCATCGGATGAAGTCCCTGCAGAAGACGGTCGAGATGTCCTTGGCATGGAAGATGATGAAGACTGTGATGAAGGACAGGATGAAGAGATTATTGAACCTCATTCTGACGCGACGATAAATGAAGTAGAGGGTGATGAAGCGGAAGCTGGCAGTATAGCAGAAGGACAGAATGCTTTTTCTGAGCATGTTGGAGGTTGTGAAGAACATCCTGAGAGTGTAAATGGAATTATCCATGATGATGATCAGTATTGTATTGACGAGCAGCCTTGTGCACCTGAAATGGAGATTGAGGTTGATCCGGCAGAAAAGGGGGAAGAGAACCCCGGGGAGCCCGAGCCTTGCGCAGTTGGAGAGTCTGAGGCATTTGGTGATAGCGAAAGTACGGATCCATGTATTTTACCCGCCATTGGTGAAGTTGAAGCTTCAGAAGATGTTCATGGGGAAAAGAACCAAGAAGTTGAAGATAGTATGGAAAATATAACCGTTGGCACTTGTGAATTGTCAGAACCTGATGCTGAGAATGGCGGTGTAAATGGACAGTCTTCAATTCAAACCGAGCTCGATGCAATTCCCTCAGTTTCTGAAGACGACCCCGGTGACGATCGTAAAATAGACGTCCACGAGCAAGTAATCGATGATAAGGACTTCTTTGAACAGCATACGACCGCCATTATTGAAACTCAGGTCAAAAATAATGATGATTTTGAGCACAGGAACGGCAGTACAGCTGATGAGGAGTATCGTTGTGGCGTTGGAGACATGGATGGCAAACCATCTTTAGAAGACGACTGTCCCGGTGACACTCCAGAGAAAGTCGTTTTAGATGCTTTGGTGAGCGAAATTGCCTTGCGTGCGAAAGTGTGGCAGCAAAGACGAAGACTTTGATATCGATTAACTTTGCATTTAGTAATTTTTTTTGTGTCTCATGTTCACGTTGACATAATGTTTTTTATGAAAACTCAGAGATTTATATTGTTGAAAAGAAAAAAAAGACGCTACCTACTACGTTTTGGTAGTTTGAACGTTAGTTTTGTTAGTTGACTTTGAAAATTAAGTGCATATCTCGTATCTTAGACTTTGGGTTCATTCTCAAATCTTCTGCAATGTGAGAAGTGCAGTATATTCTTCAGTTTGAAAACCAGCGTGCGGCTGGCTTTTTGCATGTCGATAGATCTCACATAGCTTTTTCAGGGAAGATGTACTGTGCCTCTTCATATTGCGATAAATATCAAGGATATATAAACTCCTCAAGATTTTCCTTTGCACATCAAAATATGTTATGTTATAGTAAAAACGTTCACACCGCGTTTCTTGAACCTACAAGAACGAGCAGATATTTTTGTACATCTGGACTTGGAAGTTTTGCTATCAGAAATGTACTATATATACATTATATTTTATATAAAAACAGATGGCGACTGACGTGTTGTTTCTTTCAACCTGAGGGTGGGTAGAACCGTCGCAATTTACAAAAGACATGGCAGTTTAAATTGTCAAAACCATTTTAACAGGCACGTATAATGTATTTGGGAAATGTCCGAGGGCCGAAGCAGTCTAGAGGCCCCATTTAAGCGATACACAATGAAAAAGCGGAGGCCCAAATTTGACTGAGGGTTAAATCTTAGCTATTCCGCCCCTGTACTACAACTACAAGTTTACTTTACAAGTTTATTTTAGTATATCAGCTTTGCTGAAGTAAACTGCTTTCCGGAAAAAATGCAGGCTCCGTAGCATGGAATTAGCCTTTCGTGATTAATGACGAATATCGGCCGCCATTTTTGGGGTACTTTTTCTCAAAACCGCAGACGTGAGACCTCATAACGGCCACCGTCTTTAATTTTAGTCTGGAGTTATGCTTCCAATAGTCTGTTGATTATAAAAAAATTGCTTTTTATCTTGTTAAAACTTTTAAAACCCATTTGAAAACATTGAAAGTACCCCAAAAACGTCACGGTGAGAAAGGCTTATTGATGCGTCACGCCTTTTGGGCGATGTGAAAGAATAACAAGGTCTTTACGCGAATCAATATGGCCACAACAAAAACATACTATTTTATGGACAGAGGAAAACGCCGATCATCTCTTTTTCAAATCGCCTGTGATCTTTCACAGTAGGCCCACGGGTTTATACGGTTGTGAGGAAAATGTCACGGCACAGAAATATTCGGAATTATGCTTATGAAGAAGGTACGTTGAAAGTCGTTGATCATAAAACAAACACTTCAGAGCTCTATACATGAAGAGTTTTATCTTTTATGTGGTGCATCATCGCGTATTTATGTTAGTTTATGTGTATGTGTAGACCATACCTGGTGCATTAAGCTTCTGGCAAGTTGCAGCATTATTCAGATTACTGCAGATTATTCATACACACTTTTTAGATTTATTAGACAAAGCAAAGATATATAATTGAATATTATTAAGTGGTATACATTGTGATTGTTTCGATCAAGGTTTCATCAGTGGAAAGTATTTATCATGTGCTTGTCAAGTGGTATTTATCATGTGCCTACAAAAATTCTCAGCGTAATCCTGCCAGAATGCATTGCTAGTTGAAGACTTGTTGCCTTAGCATTATTCGAACCCAAGGCCAAAGGTGCATGCCTAAATCTCTAAACTTCATTGTGTTTAAACCTATTTAATCCCTATATCCCTTTGATTGTCTCTCATTGTGCCCTTGGAGATTGATTTGCACCCCAACCTCTAGACTTTCGTTCATTTGTGCCTACAAGGTTGTCCAAAAAATAACCAACTCTTGTGAAAACCATATATACTAATATACATATCACCCAACAGATGAGTTTATCACTGAATAAAATTTATTGTCTCATTTAGATATGTACGAAGATGTTTACGGTCATTCTGTTGAAGAACATGATCTGTGTGTCTCGCCAACTACAGGTAAGGTCTAAACAAATATGGTGCTTACAAAGCCTGTAGTTTGTCATATTCATAAATTGTTATCATTTTGTGTCATGCAGCCCAACAATTCATGTATCGTCGTGGTGAGACGCAACATCGAAACTTGTCTTCCTTCATGGAGGAACCAGCAGATTATGAAGACAACAAGTACCACTTTGACCAGAGCGAACATCTTGGAGCTGTGAAGGATTATGAAATCCCAAAACTGAGTAGGGAGGATGAAGGTAAAATGTTTACCACAAAACATTATTGCTGTCTTCCCCATTATACTTACCAGTGAACCTAAATTCATACTATTGTAGTATTAAATTGAATGATCTTACTCAGCCCTGGATTAATCTTTCCTAAGATTAACTTTCATAAGGGCAGCAGACCCACAAAAGTGTGAATGAACTGTAGATGGCTGCATGAAAGTGTCTGATCTCCCCTTCATGATCGGAGCATTATTTGATTATCACATTGATTAAACCTTAGAAAGTTCCCCTTCATTAAACTGTCACTGATTTTACTTGTCTATGGGGAGGTAAGCTAATTAATGGAGTATTTCAATTTTCTAGCAAAACTGCTTTCCTGTATGGATGAATTTCGATCGATTCTTGGTGACCATTGTGACGAACAAGAGGCAAAGGCTGCCATTTTGAAACATAACTTTGATTTGGAGAGAGCCCTTGATGAAGTCTTAGATCAAGGTAACCATTGTAGACTTCATGCTGAAGTTAGTCTGAGCCATATACTAGTGCTGAGTGAATCATTCTCTAAAAAGACTCTCAAAAATGTACAAATTTCTCAGTTTTATTTTGACTTTTGCAAGGTGGAAATCAGGATTTGAAGAGCCATAATGTTCCTCGAAAGGAGAAAGGTAATTCACTTCAGTTTTGTCGTTTAGTTTGTTTCGGGCTGGTGGACACATTTTAGGAGAAGCGGTCCTCTCCCATACCCCCCAAGCCTGAGCCCCTTCGACTATGGGCTGCTTTCCACCCCACCAATAAGTCCGCTAGTTTTTGCCCCAAAGGCTGATTAAGGCTTCTAACATCATTCAGTAAAAACGCCAAGATGTAAAAACCACTTCATAGCTTCATCCAAATACTAACTTTGTGCCTTTTTGTGTCTTTTTTATGATGCTGTTCACTCTTTCTGCCATGGCAATATTAAGGTAAGATGTTTTAAAATTTGAGCATGTTAACAATTTGCATTCTGAGCATGGCTTAGGCGCGCGTTCCCAGCACGAAACAGGTCAGGCCGGCACGAAGCAGAATTTTGAAAAGCCGTTGCAAAATATAAACAAAGTGAAAATGTTTAGCGAGCGAAGTGTTTTAAATGCTGAAGAAACAACCGGAAAAGGAGGCCCAACCGAACAATCGTTGTTCTCGTCTAATGCAAAACTCCAAAATTCCCCGTTAAACGAATTGTCGAGGACTGAAAAATCTAAAAAACAAAGGGAGTCTATCAAATCAGTTCGTAGCATTGCGGCGTCTAAAAAGTTGGTCGAGAACTCTTTTGTCGCCCGGGTTGTTTACGAGAAAACAGGGTCGTTGTTAGCGAAAGAAAGCTCAACTGGTTGTGGCGTGTCAAAAAACGAGGGTCGTGATACGTTGCCGTTAGGTCAACTGTTGAAAACACACCAAACGCTTGAAAGCAAAGATTCACAAGTTTCACCTCTTTCTATGCATCGTGGTTTGAAAGAAACTCAGTCGAATATTAGACCTACGCTTTCATCGCCCGTGACTGGATCAGAATGCAAGCCCTCGCTATCAAATTTAAGTCAATCGACAGAAACCAAATATTCATCTGGAGATGACTTAGGGAAAACATCAAGTTCCGACAGAAGAAATGGTTCGTTAATGACATCACCTTTGTCTGCTTCAAAAGTCCAAAACACGTCGCCTTTGAGCAAGAAACTTGCTTCAAAACAAGAGTCTAAAGATATGAAGGGAATCTCGGTACAAGTTTCGACAAAGATATCTCCTTCACTTGTGCATATACCATCCGTTGACGAGTATTCAATATCACCACTTAGCCGGTTGAAAGCAAAACGGTCTTTGAATGACAAGACGTTTGGAACGTTGTCTGGGACAAAGCAAACACAGACAATACAGCGAAGACATTGGTTCACATACCAACAAATGATGGATGCTTAAGTCGTCTTCTCAGAGCTAGACAGTCGCCTAAACGCGATGATTGTGTTTCGAAAGTTGGCTTAGAAAACAACAACAATTCAAACTTCAATATTGGCGTAGGCGAAACAAGCGACAAAGCGAAATCTGGGTTGTCAACGATGAAACCTTCGACTACCTTTCCTGTGTCCGGTAAAACTGAAAATGCTGGTTTATCCTCGTCGTTTTCGCGCATGGAAATCAATCTCAGTGAAAAATCAGGTAAAGACGAGAGTTTATCCGCAACACGAAGTGATTCCCGTAGGTCATCAACTAGCGATGTTGAAGACGACTTCCTGATCGACTTTGAACAAAATGATTCTTCCGGAGAGTCAGTTTTTGAATTTCTTCATGGTCCAAGCACGTTTGCGTGCACGTTGCTCGTTTACTACGAAAAACCTGGTCCAAAATGGAAGCCCGATGTGACAAGAAGATTTCAAAACGATTTCGGAATCGTACCATTTGATTTCAGCACGGCATCGCCTGATGACTTTGTCCTGGCAAAACAAAAGAAAGCTCGTTTGCAAAGAAAATAAGTCGAAGGTTTCTTATGGCTAAACTGTCTTTGTGAAAGGTTTCATGATTTCACCAAGAGACAATGTGCATGAAATCTACGAGAACATGTTTTATTGTAAATGGGATAACTTTTAACAATGATATATATCAGTGATAACGTTGCAATCTAGGCACGGAATAATCTAAAGACAGCTTTGCTATCTAAAACTCTGTCTAATCACTTACTAATGACAGTCGGTTTAGAATTTTTTGATACGAAACGACCAAACCAAAATTTTTCATGATAGACCCGAGAAATAGACGCAATCATTTTTTGTAATCAATAGAAATCTGTGGTGTAAATAATTGGGAGATGAAAGTGCTTGGTGTTTTGAAAAGGGCATATCCAACCTTTTCCATCGACAAGTTCTGCACATGATGTGTACATATTTGTATATAAGTCATTTTAGCAGCTATCGTAGTGAACATTTTAACGAGATATTTTATATGAAATATTTTCTAGAAGTTGTAAAATATGTTTACAAATGAAATCTGCAAGTCATTTTATCAATGTTTTCTATCATACATGTAATTGCCTAGTTAGAATACGACAAAAGTCGACACTGTTCTCGGTATGCCGTCGGATAATTCCGTTCTGCATCGGACCCATGCTTTTCATCACGTTTTGGCGAGTACAAATATATCAGACTTATATTTTCTCCCTACAAGATGAAACATGGTCCAATTATTTAACATATTCATCCCATCAAATTCCTTCCGACCAGCGCAGGACTCTCAGGAAAGCCAAGGTCAGGTGTATTCGTGCCCAGGCGCTCTTCGAAGATCAAAAAGATCGCATGAAGTTGATGATATAGAGATCAGTTACGAAAAAATGTAGGCGTCTGATCTATATAGTTCCCTGTAGTGTGTACATTTTTGTTTTTCATTTTTGCGCCTGTTTTCGAGGCTGTGCTAAACCTGGTTTCCATTTAGTCGTGGACAAGTCATTTTCACCGATGAGAAATAGTCCGGGTGAGAATTTGTCTTTGTTTCTGTATTCAAATCGGTCATTATTTACTGCACACAAATATAAATATTCTATCATATCAGCACCCTTGACATGTTCACGATACTTACGACTAAATAGAAACCAGGCATTAGATCGGCAGTGAAATCTTTTCGGCATATGAGTTTGTCTTCGTATTATTTAACCTATTTGACACCGCAGACAGTTTGGAAGCTGGACACGCGTATTCTATCACAGAACGAACGTATATCGTGTGTTTTTTTATGTATTACGTAGCATTTCAAAAGCGTTGCATTTTAGATTCAAGGCGTTGTAATACTCCCAAGAAAGACGAAGCTGCTACCGCAGACAATCAGCCGGCTCAAGCCAATTTTTCCTCACCTGTACTGGAGCGTAGTACCAAGTCCAACCCAACCTCGCCGAACCGCAGGTATATTATCACATACTATTACGTCATCACTGTCAATGCAGCGAGAATTGGGAATGGGGAAGACGGGAGGGACCAGGATTAGGTCTTAGAAGGACGAAGGTTATGGCTGATTACGGTTAATCCCAAGTCTAATCATAATCCTAACCTAATCTCAACTGAACAATTTCTATATTTAGCCTAGTCAATTGTCATTATCCTTTCAGTATAAACGCCTTGCAAACGTCTTAAAGACATTGCTGTTTGATAGACACACTCGGGATACCTGATATAATATTGTTTTGATTGTTATAATAAAGTGTTAGCGGCTCTTTTTTTATCTACGGTATAAACGGCCAGACCAATCTTGTTGCATTTCTGTACAGACAGATTACTAGTATTTTAGACAGTTTCAAAGACTCTGAATTCAAGTATGTCGTTATTTACATGCATCTGCCCAGCACGAAAAATGCAGCTTCACCGCTTTATTCTTTACGAAATAATCTATTTCAATTCAAAATATGACTGGTTTGACCATTTTGGCGCCCTAAAGGAAAGCACTCCTATGTCTATGATTAAGTTTTATATTCATCTCAGTTTAATTTTTCCGCCACAGCTCGCCCCAGCTTGTTAATGGGAATGCGAAGCTGGCTTCTCCGGACAGCCCTTCGTCTAGTAAGTCGAAAAATGCCTCGAAAGACAAAGTTTCAGCAAAAGAAATTAACAAAGTTAGACAAGGAAAGACTCTGCTCAATTTAGTTGTAATTGGTAAGTCATTCCGTGATGTGTGATGTTGCTACTAATACTAGCCTGACTTGTCTAGTACTTACTACTTTGCAATGTTTTATTTAGTGTTTCTCTTTCAACTTTCCTCCATGTCAGTTGAACAATTCAGTACTGCTAGTCTGACCGAGTGTTGCCTGAATAGTCTTGTACATTGCATTGTTTCAACTTTTTCAACTTTCCAGGTCACGTGGACGCGGGCAAAAGCACCCTCATGGGCCACCTGCTCTATTTACTAGGAGATGTGTCAAAGAAAACAATGCATAAATATCCTTTTAATAAAACTTTTCAACCCTCAGTCATCCAGAAAGTGTATTGGTTATTCCTGAACACTACAATCTTCTGGGTGCGTCTTTTTGAGACAGCCTGCAGTATCTTCCTCATCCGACCCTATAGATCAAATATGCTCAGGTGTTCTTCTATATTATCCTTAATTTCCCGCACATATGAACAAGATGCGAAGAAAGCTGGTAAGGCTTCATTTGCATATGCCTGGGTTTTAGACGAGACTGGCGAGGAGAGAGAACGGTGAGTTTACTTACTGTTGTGCCTGGTTCGTTTCTGTAATTTCTCCTGATCTTAAATAAGCCGGGTTTCCATTCGTGAACATTTCATTGTAGCTGATGTAATAGAATATTGCTATGTGTCATGTGTGTGCAGTCCACTATAGGGACCTTTAGCCGTAACTGCGAGTGTAAGACTCGACATTTTCGCGCCAAACTCGATGCTTTTGCCTACGTCGTTTGACGCAACTCGCAAAAGCTCGATGTCTACGACAAACTACGAGCTTTGGCTGATGGCGTAAGCAAACAACGCGCGAGAATGATGAATCTTGTACTCGTATTTGTAGCACAGAGTAACTAAAAGCTGTCTGTTGTTTATTTACTCTGTGCTTGTAGTTCCTGATAAAGGTCCCTAATTACAATTAAGACAAATCCAGAGTATGATAGAAAATTATTCGTTCGCGACAATTGCGGCCATATTTAGACTATGCTTACGGAAAGAACTGGTAAGACACGACAGAGAATATAAATATTGAGTCAATTTACATTTATACGTTATTTTTTGCTATTTCAGAGGGATAACAATGGACGTTGGGGTGACTCGTATTGAAACAGACTCGAAGATCATCACGTTAATGGATGCTCCGGGTCATAAAGACTTCATTCCTAATATGATTTCCGGTGCAGCTCAGGTAATTTGTGAAACAAAATTATATATGTGAGAAAAACCTTAAACTTATGTTATAGTGACAAGTATCTTACTAATATCTACCATTTTCCGCTCCAAGGCCGATGTCGCTATTTTGGTAGTTGCCTCTTCAACTGGTGAATTTGAGGCTGGTTTTGAAGCTGGTGGACAGACGAGAGAGCACGCCATTCTTATTCGCTCACTTGGTGTAACACAACTCCTCGTAGCGGTCAACAAACTCGACACAGTACGCTTTTACCTAAAATTCTTGACTCTTATATATAGTCTTCAACTGGAAGGTCGCGCACGTAGCACAGGCCAACCGTGACGTCACTAACAATATAGCTCAATACAACCCCCCCCCCGGCTTTTATACGACTAAGAGCATTATTTGAAAGGACTGTGTTTTGTGTGCTCCAGGTAGGATGGTCTAAAGAACGGTATGATAACATTATTATGAAGTTGAAGAAATTTTTAAAACAAGTTGGATTTAAGGTTAGTTTGGAATATTAAAGTGTGATTAAGCATGTGGAGTTAACCCGTTTTATCCTAGCCAGAAATGCAGTTTCCTAAAACGCAAGTGTCGTACAACCAAAATATCTTCCCTGTCTTCCGAAAACAATCGAAAGAATCGTCATTCAACATCAATTTTTACCATGCTTTGGTTCAACTTTTGGACTTACTCCAGATCTTTTATGGAGAGCTAACTCGAGCGGTCCCTCGTTACCAGGCTTGGCGCTTACCGTATATTTCACCAGTTTGCTAAATGGCACCATGTATTTTCCCGTTTTCCAGGAAAGCGACGTGAACTTCGTGCCATGCAGCGGTCTCACTGGGGAGAATCTGACCAAACATGCCGAAGAAACGTTGTTGAAGAATTGGTATAGTGGACCAAACATGATTGAACGAATAGGTATGAATACGCACACGTGGACCATCAGGCAAACCATCGCAAGTTTGTTAATAGAAACGTCTAAAATATCTTTCCAGATGCTTTTAAAGCTCCTGAAAGACCAGTCGAAAAGCCTTTTAGACTTTGTATCTCGGATGTTTTTAAAGGTTAGTTTTTGCTGGTAAATCTGCTTTAAGATAAGTAAACTGTTGGTTTTATCTATTCCATTTTACTGTACTTCTTGAATGTGTACGGAAATGAACAACAATGGCTTTGGTTCAATGTGAATTATCTACCCTGTTTTGTCCTTACTTCCTTTGTCTTTGAGCCAAAATTTAGCAATTCGCTTGGAAAGCATGCGAATATATAAGCTTTTAAAGAGAGTAATAAGTAAAGTCTTATCTGCAGTAATTAACATGAATGCCCTGTATTTTCGTTGCGTGTATAGGGACTGGTTCGGGAGTGAATGTAATGGGACGGGCAGAGGGTGGCCAGGTCAAAAACGGTCAAAAAATTTTAGTCATGCCAGCCGCTGTTCAAGGGCAAGCCAAGAGCATCTCAGTTCACGGCGAGCCGGCGGACTGGGCCCAAGCCGGTGATCACGTGACCCTGAGCGTACATGGCGTTGACATGGTGAATATCACGTACGTATTTATATTTGCATCTTGTCATGAATAACTACTAATTCTTTCCCGGTGAGAGACTCCAGATCATTTTTGCTCTCCCTAAATGGACCTTTTCAGTTTGCATGCTGATGAACTCATTTCAGATGTTGTGATGATATGGAATAGCCAATAAAACGTAACCATTTCAGACCATGTGATTTGAAATGGGTTAATTTGCATACAAGCAAAAAAAGGTCTATAGATTAGCCTGGCCAACTGATAGGACCGACGCTATAATATAAATTTGTCAATGTGTAGAGTTCCAATACGAATTCATTGTGTGCTTCAATTTTATCAGCAAGCGTTAACATTTTGTTCAAAGTGAATGCTATTAAATATTCATTTTAGGGTGGGCAGTATTTTGTGTGACCCAGCGTTTCCCATTCAAGCCGTGACAAGACTTAGAGCGAGGGTTATGGTTTTTGATATCGAAGTTCCTTTAACGAAAGGATTTCCGGTAATGTCACCTTGAGAGTTGAGAAACTCCGTGTGGATGGAGTACATGGGCAATCCCCTTTAAGTATCTTTCTATCCCTTCAGGTTGTGTTTCATTTTCAAACGATAAACGAGCCTGCAGTCATCAAGCGGCTGCTCAGCATTCTCCACAAAAATACTGGTGACGTTATTCAGAAGAGACCCAGGTAAAATAAATCATTTGCACACTGGGTTCTTTAGGCTGAAAAACCTTTTTAAACTAAACCATATTTGGTGCGAAAATTAGCCGGGGGGTCGTTCAAAAGTTATTATAGGCCCCCACGTAATTTTTTTTTTCGGCTTCCCCCCTGGATATACCTGTTTTAGGAGAGCTTTAAAATATAGGAAGACACACTTTGCATTCCAGGTGCCTGACAAAAAATTCTACGGCAAACATCGAGTTAGAACTGTCGAGAACAATGTGTTTAGAGTTATACCAGGATTGCAAAGATCTGGGTAGATTTATGTTACGCTACGGCGGAAAGACGATTGCGGCCGGGATAGTCACTGAGGTAATGTCAAAACTAAACTTTTGCTTTTTAGAGTGAGGTTAACCAAAGTTTTCCCTTGTGTAGACAGATGATAGTTCTCAGGCAGTGTTTATTTCTGTTTGTAGATTCGATCCTGATGGAATTTGAATGTGAAAATAATGACCTCCATAACAGGCGCTGTGCTTTCGAAAGAAAACACGATTTGATGTGGCCATTTGTCAATGACTTATGGCTTTTGAGTGGTTTTATGGATGGTTAAATAGTACACAGTATAACAAGGAGGAATTTCGTTTTGAACTGATCGGCAAATTTGTTTACATTTTTCAGGTCAAGCCTAGAATCATTGAATTGTAGGCAGTTCAATGATTAGAATGCCTAGATTTTTAATGTAGCTTTTTATCGGAAGTAGCCAATATTTATGCATTCTTATTGGTTTCTGAAATGTGAACAAAATTTCTGATTGGTCTATAAAACGAAATTCCTCCTTGTTAAACAGTGCGCTTGTAGAAAGGCAACGATGCAGGATTTCAAACGTTTGTGACTTGGTGTGGCAGGGATAGTGAATATATAAAATGCGTAACTTATGAAATTTTGCAGTGGAAGTGAATGTGAGAATACTGTTCTGATAAATAACAGATAATTTACAGGGCCATATCAAAATACGATGATTTGGAGGTTTTTTTTGAACAAGTCTGCAGCAGAGTTGTTACAACTCTGTTCACAAGCTTGCAACAAGATTTGTTCGCACCGCTTGCTCCAATTTGTTGTAACAAGTTTTGGACAAGCTGTTAACAACTTGTAGCAAGTCCGATGGCATTATAAGAATTGTTACAAGATTGTTATGACAAGTCTTACACAGATATGATACAACAACATTGCTACGAACTTGACAGGACATGATTGTAGCAATATTGTCACATCATGTTTGTACCAGACTTGTTGGAACAGCCTCGTAGCAAGTCTTTTGAGTTTTGATTCAACAAGTTTGTTACAACTTCTGAACAAGTTGTCCCATCTCGTCAACAGCTTGCGACAAGCAGTGGGAACAAATCTTGTTGCAAGCTTGTGAACAGACTTGCTACAAGATATGATATTTTTTACGCGTGTACACGGCTAAAAACTCTGAGCCTGCGGTTTGTCAGCATGCAACAATGTTGTGCTGAATGAATCGTGTGTGACAATATAATACTTTGAAGTTTGAAGCCACGAAGGACGCGGAAAAACCTGGGTGCAAGGTTGCCTGCGTGTAGGTTATATTTCCATTACTACCCTAAATTCTGCGGGCATCTCGACTTAGTCCCTTGTTTTTCATACGATGCTCGGTTCTTTCTTTTTGATCTAAATTCAACGTGTAGAAAAGTGCTGAAAATCAGGCTCCATTTTCAGGTAAAATACAACATTTCTACTACTTGTTCCTAGGAGTAAAGAAGCTTAAACGGCATTGCATGAGTGCGTTTTTCACTTAACGTTAATGTTCTTGTGAATTTTAAACGAATTCTAAATTTATGCATATATGATATATATAAATACTATTTTTAGGGAATACATACATGCTACAGTTTTGCCACATTTGATCAGTCAAATATACATTCGTAGGTCCAATGTGTATGTATAGCGTAACCAGGAACAGCCAGTTTGTATCCTGTACACAGCTTTGATGTTCTATATCTTAAAATTGCAATTATTGCCCCAATTATGAATCAATTTTGCTTGTTCTAATCAATCTATTAAACACTTTGTTATCTGTCAGATCAATTCCTTGTGCATTTGCACTCATAGTCACACTACCTAAGCAGTCATAGGGCATTGTATAGCTATATTTGCATATCATTTTTCATTATATTATATGTAATAAATATCTTTCTTCAGTTTTGACTCACAATGATCAATGACATGCAGTTAGCCGTTTTCTCCAATTTTCTTGGCATCATATTATTCCTGTTGGTTATCCTATATCACTATGTTGCTGTGACGAAACCCAAGAGAGAATAAATTTACCAGGTGACTAGTTTACCATACTAAATTTCAAAACTGAAAATGGTCAGACACTTGTCTTGCACGAAGCCAAACATTTGCTTGCCGAAATATTTTTCTAATTGGCATTCATTTATCTTTAGATTTACCAACATGTACAGAATGTGGCAAAGAATTGGTTTCCTGAAATGTTGTCTTTTGAAAACTGTGCATGTAGCTATGTCACACTAGTTTTGTAAAAAGTAGAATTTGAAAATAAAATAATTTTATTTCAAGTTGTTAGTACTACTACAATCACTCACAATGATGAAGTTTAAAAGTGTTTTAGAAAAGTAGCTCATAAAACTATTTTCTGTTTTTTTTTCGTGATCATTCAAGTTTTTGTTTGCTGAAACTAGGCAATGTTTCTAAGACTTTTGAATGGTCAACTTGCAAGCCTTGGTTGTTATTAAAAATTGCACTACTGAATACCTATGTCCTTTGGAATAACCTGCATACCTGAGCCTGGATAAGTTTGAGCAGATCTCAGTACACAGGCACACCAAATAATTACCACATTCAATAGACCAGGAGGTTCAGTCTAGCTAGATTTGAGCATATTTGATTAAAATATTTGCATATACGGCCATACGACCTGGATACCAAATTGAGTACTGCCACGTGATAGATGCGTGACATATAAGATAAATAAATGAAGATATACCACAGTACATTGGGCCTGAAGAAAAAACGATTTTGTGAAAACGGTCTCTTCGGTCTCTTTGATGAGTTTGTGTTAATTTTTCCCAGAGCTCTCTGCAACGCGCCACCGTCAGATGGGATCTGGACTGCAGGCACATCACATGGCGCGCGATTCGGGAAGAGAAATTTGAAATCAACTTCGATCACTTCAAACTGATATATTTTGAATTATTTTGAATTGACATCGCAGCGTTTTAAAGATAACGAAGGATACTTCATCGTGGTTCATTCTTGTTGTGAGAACAACTCGTTGCAAGTATGAATTTCGAAGCAAACGCCCAGAACTTGCAAGTGCTTGCCGGTAGATTACAGGAAACCCTTAGCTCGGAAGATCAACTCAGAAGAGACGGTAAGATATTTTGAGCGGGTTTTTCGTCCGGATTGCTTTGTTTGAAGGTTTCTAGAAGAGGAACTGTTTATTACTTGAGAGCGTGTTGAATCCGTGAAGGAAAGCTAAATACCATCACAATATAATGTTCAGACTAGAAATTACTCAAATTAGGGGTTATTTCTACATTTAGTGTCTAATAGGAGTATTTAGCAGACACATTATTTACTTAATCGGCAAGATTTAAAAATTATTTGTCATAATTCGTTATTTGTCTTAATCGTTGTTAATTGAACAGTGTTTGAAATATTTTCAAATTACCACCAAAATATAATTAGCATAATTATGCGGGATATTTCTATTTAGCATAATTATGCTGAATATAATTTTCAGGCATGTTTGGGCATGGTCCAAAATTAACATATAGTCTTTGACCTATTTTGGTTGAAAATACTTAGAAATTTCCACATATTGTTGACCTGTCAAATTCCAATGCAAAACAGTGAAGCATTAAGTTTATATCCGATGATTAAGTTGTTAAAATTTAATAAAAAGTTCCGAAGGGATTTTGTGTTGGTAAAACCAGGATGATTTTTCAAGTGCTACCTTTGATGGAAGATATTCAGCCTGTGTTAGCATGCTTTCGAGTGATTCATTCAGAATCATCAGGGCATGTTAGGCATAATGGTTAGGTATTTAGCATCTGACAGAAATATATTTGTATTATGATAAAATAATCTGGAAATATTGACAATTTATAATAAACAATTTCGAGAAGTTTGAGTAGATTATTGAACAGAGAAACGTCTCCCTAACTCCCATGGAATGATCTTTATTTTATATCTTTATGCCAATATTTTGTATCAAATTCTAATATTATTTATTTGCTTTCAGCTGAGAAGTTTCTTCAAACAATAGAAGGCAATAGTAATTACTCATTGCTCTTGCTTCATATTGTTGAGAATGGTTCGTTTGACAGCATGATCCGGTTGGCAGCGGCCATCACGTTCAAGAATTTTGTGAAACGACAGTGGCGCGTGGTTAGTTTGAATATACTGTGAATTATATAGTTTGGTAGTTTGTTCATCAAATTGACTGAATAATCAAATAATTTGTTACTTTCTGTTAAAAAATATTGATTATAGAATATATCAGTTAAACTGAGCGAAAATCATTTCTGGTTATTTCAAAAGCATAACCAAAACTGATTCCAACAGCGTTACTTAAATAAATGCTTAGGACTAAAAGATGTTCCATGTATATTATGCATCCTTACATCCTTAACATACACACAGTACATCCTTACAATCAAGTACAGTAAAGGTGGTTAAAAACAGTCTTATTCTTCAGGTTGATGGTGATCCTAACAAAATAACACAAGAAGACAGGGAAAGCAGTATGTTTTTTTAAATATGTTACCTAATTTCTCATTTCTTTTCCCATTTCTCTCATGTGGAAGTTTATTATTCTCTTTGTTTCCAGTTAAAGTTTTGATAATTGACTTGATGTTGAAGAGTCCACCGCAGTTACAAAGCCAGGTAAACGTCAGGGTAATCATTTAACCCATTAGCAGAAATATGTTTATTTCACCTCATCTCCCCTGGCAAAATTGTTTTAAACATTCCACGCTTTTGTTTCCAATCAGTTGAGTGACGCTGTCAGTATCATTGGCAGAGAAGATTTTCCAAGAAAATGGCCAAATCTACTACCAGTAAGAATGCAACCTAACTACAGGGAGTTGGATGTGTTAATAGCAATACTCAATGCTCTAAGAAAAGGGAGAATTTTTTATTCTTTCTGTAGGAAATGGTTAAAAAATTTGGCTCCGGAGACTTCCATATCATCAATGGTGTCTTGAAAACTGCTCATTCCTTGTTCAAAAGGTTTGTCTAAATAGGTTAATTTTAATTTTGTACACAGAAAAAAACTTGGACAATTTTTTTCATATTTGCACTAAACATTGTTGTACAAAAGTAAACACATTCATTTTGCCATGACATTGTGGTATTTGCTTTTTGAGAGTAGAAATAATGTTATTTCAAAGAATATGCTATTTCTATCATGTCTGTCCTTTTCCAATGCAAACTTGAACTTTAGCTTTGCTATTCCAGGTACCGCCATGAATTCAAGTCCCAAGAGCTTTGGGAAGAAATTAAAATTGTTTTGGATGGATTTGCAAAGCCGATAACAGAATTACTTCAGGTGTGTGCTAGCTTTCACTCCCACATTTTTCCAAGAGTGGTAAAG